GTTGGCCTCACTATGCAAGGTGTTCGACTGAAGTTAGAAGAATTTGAGCTGACTCGAGGAACCAAGCGAAAGGTCCCCATGCCTAACACGGCCTTCGCCGGGTCCTACAAGGTGAAGGGCTCCTTTCCGTTCCCTTGCAACAACTGTAAGAACATCGGGCATCGCAAGGCGGACTGCTGGCTGCCTGGCGGCGGCGCGCACGATCCTAGTGTGCGTGGACGGGGTCGTGGCCGGGGACGCGGCCGTGGCCGCGGACGTGGACGAGGATCAGCATCTCGGGGACGTGGTCGGGGCGGTGGCCGCGGCGGCAGTGCCGCGGTAGCTAACATCGAGAAGGCAGAAGACGACGGCGACGACGACGAGGGATCCGAGAGGGTGGCTTATGCCTTCCTAAGTGAGGTACAGGAGGACCTAAAGCAAGTAGACTGGAGAGACCTGGTCTATAGTGACGCTGAAAAGGCTATGGCCACTAAGGTATTTGCTCATAAAGTGTTGTGGTTGTTGGACTCTGGAGCGTCAAACCATTTGGTTCGACCAGACGCTAAGACTGTCAACAGGAGAAAATTGGATTCACCGGTTAAAATTCATGTAGCTAAAAGTAATGTGTATCTCATGGCTTATGAGCAGGGAGATATAATTTCAGAAACGATAGTTAATGACCAGAAACGGAAAATTACTCTCACAAACTGCCTTATAGTGAATGATTTGAAACATAACCTCGTTTCCATTTCCAGGCTTGAAGGTATGGGACACCCGGTGCTTTTCTGGAACAGCAAGTGCTACATTTTCCGTGACAGACCAGGAGGTGATGTTGTGGCCATGGGGTTCCGAGAACACAATGTCTACCATCTGGGACTACAGACTACTGCTGGGAGCCGTGAGCTCTGCAATCTGGCTGGCGTTGGGATCCAGACCTGGCACGCCAGGCTTGGCCACTTGAGTGGTGGAAATATGGAGAAACTGTCAGGTATGGTAAGTGGTGGTGGTGAGTTTCGATCCAAAGAACTGAGATTCTGTGATACATGTGTGCTAGGTAAACAGACAAAATTACCACATTCTGGGGCTCGACCCAGAACCACGAGGCCTTTAGAGAGAATTCACAGTGACCTTTGTGGGCCCATAAGGCCCACGGCCTATGATGGTACAAGGTATATTTTAACTTTAATTGATGATTATACTCACTTTGCTGTTGTATTTGCTATGAGAAGTAAAAAGGAGGTCCTTGGTCACATACAGTTTTACGAGGCCAGAGCGACCAGTAGATTCTCTTCCAAAATCAGTGTGTTCCGTTGTGACAATGGTCGGGAATACATAAATTGGCATGTTAAAGACTTCTTTACAGAAAAGGGGATCCAATTTGAAAACACAGTACCTTATACTCCTCAGCAAAACGGTGTAGCTGAGCGCTTTAATAGAACCATACTGGATAAAGCCAGGAGCATGCTTTTTGGTTGTGAGTTAAAGAAAAGTTTTTGGATCGAGGCCACCATGACTGCTGTGTATTTGGTCAACAGATCTCCAACGACCGCCTTGCAGGCCAAGGTCCCAGCAGAGCTCTGGTATGGCAGTAAACCGGACATTAGTAAACTTAGGGTTTTTGGGTGTGTGGCGTTTCTTCACAAGCCCAAGGCCCTAACTAAGGGAAAATTTGATTCTAGGAGTAAGAAGTGTGTCATGCTGGGTTACAGTGATAACGGTTATAGACTCTGGTCGCTTGAGGAAGGCAAGGTCATTGTTGGAAGAGATGTGATTTTTGATGAAAGTAGGTTTAGATTTTCTACTGATTATTGGGCTTATGATTGTGATAAGAAAACAAATATTGAGGTAAGTGAGGATGTTGACGATGGCACTGATCCAGGAGGGGAAGTGGAAGAGGCTTCTGGTGATGTTCCTGCTCTTCCGGAACCTGCCCAAGTTCAAGCGGAGCTGGAGGAGTTCAGGGAACAATTAAACAATGAGGACGAGGTAGCTAGAGTAAGAAGGAGCACTAGAGTAAGGGTCCAACCACAATATCTTCAGGATTACTGTGTGCTTAGTATGCTGGCTAATACAGTTGACAATATTTCAGAGTTGGACATAGATATAGCCTTAAATCAAAATAATAACGTCATTACTTGTACTGAAACGTGTCCTTCCGACACTGAATTTGAAATAGCCCTTGGTGCTGTTAATTATAGCAATAATGTACCGTTGAATTTTGAAGATATTGGGGGAAGGGATGATGAGTTGTTATGGAGAAAAGCCATTCAAGAAGAGATTGAGTGTCTAGACAAAAATAAAACTTGGAATGTGGTGCCTCTTCCTTCCGGTAAGAATCCTATAAAGAGCATGTGGGTGTTTACAATCAAATTAGATGGAGATGGCAACATTGAAAGGCACAAGGCCAGGCTTGTTATTAAAGGTTGTGCGCAGAGAAAAGGAATTGACTATGACGAGACTTATGCTCCAGTTGCTAGACTCTCAACAGTGCGGACGCTATTGAGCATTGCAAACAGACAGAAATTAAAAATTAATCAAATGGATGTTAAGAGTGCTTTCCTGAATGGTGTTCTCAATGAAGAAATATACATGTTGCCCCCTGAAGGAATGAAAGCAAAACCTGGTCATGTTTGTAAACTCAACAAGACTCTTTATGGGCTGAAACAAGCTCCAATGGAGTGGAACAGAAGCTTTAATGATTTTGTAACTTCTAAATTAAAGTTTATCCAGTGCCGTAGTGATAAGTGTTTGTATATTCTTAAAGAAGGTCAAACTGTTGTGATGTACTTGTTGCTGTATGTGGATGACATCCTCCTAGTGTGTAATAATGGTAAACGTATTGTAGAAATTAAGAATAAGTTAATGAATAGATTTGAAATGAAAGACCTTGGAAATGTTAATCATTTTTTAGGTATCAAGGTATCTGTGTCTGATGATGGGTTGTTCCTTAGTCAGACAGCATATATCAATAGTGTCTTGAAGCGTTTTAAAATGGACAATTGCGCTCCAGCTTCTACACCAATGGAGACTCATCCGAGTGATGATGTAAGTGGGAAGTGTATAATTGGTGAGAAATCATACCGTGAACTGATTGGGTGTCTAATGTATGCTGCACTGGGAACTAGGCCGGATATCTGTGCTGCGGTTAATTTCTACAGCCAATTCCAGACCAATGCCACTGAAGTCCAGTGGAAGGGACTAAAACGAATCCTGAGATACTTAAAGGGAACTGTGGAACTTGGGTTGTGGTACGGAAGTCCTGCTTATTCCCCGTTACAGGTTTATGCTGATGCAGACTTTGCCAGAGATTTGGGAAGAAAATCCAATTCCGGATATATTATAAAACTGTATGGTGATACTGTGGTGTGGGGGACTAGGAAGCAGGGCTCTGTCGCACTGTCATCGACGGAGGCGGAGTACGTTGCCCTGGCCACCGCACTCACGGAGTTTCTATGGTTAAAGCAGGTCCTTGTTGATATGGGAGTTCACTGTAAGGGCCCTGTGCCAGTGTTTGAAGACAACCAATCGACTATTCACGCGTTGGATAGTTGGGATCACAAGCGAATGAAGCACATAGATGTAAAATACAACTTTGTAAAAGATCTCCACAGAAATAAGATAATAAATGTTAGTTATATTCCCTCGAGTGAGCAGCAGGCAGACCTGATGACAAAGGGTCTGCCTGCCGAAGGCTTCTTTAAGCATAGATCGACAATTGGAATGTTTCCAGTAAGGCTAGTTGATAACTCGAGGAGGGGTGTTGACGAGGCGAATTCTCATCTAGCCTTTATCTAAATGTGAATGTGTATCTGTGTACTCCGTCGGTGGCGCTCCCTGGTGGCGGACGGGTGTACTCCGGTGCTGCGCGTCGGTGCCTTGCCCTCTTGTGGTGTGTGTTCGGTGGCGTGCGGACGTGTGTTGTACAGTAGATTGAAAGTCATAATAAACCAAGTCCTACAAAGCCTTTTGAGTCTTCATCAATCCCTAACCTCGATCAAACATCACAGCCGAAAAAATTCGGTTTTTACCAGTTCTTATCTATGTCGCAGAATCGAGCATAACTAACAGCGACCTCGAATGCAGTTTTTTAACCGCCTGTACTGATTTACTCTAAAACAGCTCGCTCATTTAATTCCTTGGAAGAATGTTTGAGCAGCGTGCTTTTCGTGAACACATTTGTGCGAATTAGTTCACAGGTTTAAAATTGTGTGAAATTGGATGAAAATTTTAAGAATTCTTAAATGTACCATTCACGGTTAAGCTGTACGGTGGTTTCCTTACGCCCGGGAAAGACCATAGGATAGGCTAAGTCAATGTGGAATCAGAACCGACTGACTTGGTGGAACAGTTTATGTTTGCCCTATAACTTCTGCACTGTGGAAAAAAGGGATATTCTTTCCGTTAATTTATGGCCAGAACTTTCCATCATTTGAGACACAGGATTTTCCGTGATTTCAGATCCAGGCTTTTTCCGTTGTTTGATACCCAGAGATTTCCGTACTTTGCACAGGCCGTTGAAAGGCCATGGCAGTGAAGGGCAGACTTTGTGAGGGGAATTTCTTAGATTGTCCAAAGAAACACATGCTTACAGAATCATCACGCTTAGCATGAGACACAGTGGTTCGCACTAAATAGTGTGAGACTGTCCCACACTTGGATTGGCAGTGTACAAAAGCTTCGAGATCGAAGCGGCATTCCCAACAGTAATGCATTTTGTGCAATCGGGTACCGCCAACCTTCACTCTCAGCCGTTTACTGACTATTTCTCATTAGCAGACGTATTTCTGTAAGCAACCATTATACTTAGTATTTAGTTCGTAAATACTTAAAAATGTCTTTGTAATTTACTAAGAAAACGGTAATATCAGTACAGTAATTAGCAATTGCTAAGTAATACTGACAAAAAATACTAAGTATTATGGTTGCTTACAGAAATGCGTAAGCTAATGAGAAAAAGTCAGTAAAAGGCTGAGTGTTGTGGAGTGCGGGAGAGAAGGGAAGGCGAGTAAACAACAAGTACCTTGTGTTTCAGAAACACAATTTTGATTTAATACTTTGATTCGAACGATAAGAATTGTCGTAAGCCAGGAAACTGCTTGTAAAACTCTACAAAATGTATCAGAGGAACTACGGGTTTCACAATCAAACCCTTAATAAATATTACATGCATGAGCGTCGAGGACTGATCAGAAGAACCTCTGCGCCCGCAACCGCTCCTGCACCTCCCGCAGTGCGTCGTCGTCCTCGCGCTGGTAGCGCTTGGCCTTCTCGGCCCGGATGTCCGCGTCGCGCAAGTGGGCCTCCTTCTGCGTAATCTGCACCTCCTGTGAGCGCCCTGTGGTGGGCTCCACGCAGGTCACCGTCAGCAGGCCGTCCACGTTGATCTCGAAGGTGAGGTTCACTCCTGCCTGGCCTTCCGGTTTGACGGGCACAGCAACTGTGACCTCCTTGTTCAGACTGTGATTGTCCTTGAACAGCGGGCGTTCACCTTGGAACACCTGTGCAAGAAAGGCACGATTAGGATCGTTACCAAACTGATGAATTCTGTCCAAAGATACTGACTGCTTAGCTTGTGATCATTTACACCAACTGTCTGCAAACTGATAACGCTTGAAAACAGAGGGTAATAACACACTTAACTTCTATCAATAAAAGGAATAAAACGACGCCCTTAAAGGGCGTGAGAGACAGTCAATGCCTCAGGGTCCCCCAGAGTTGTATAGTGAAAATTGTCTATATAATGGCGAAATTATCTGTATTATGGTGGTGCTCTTTAAGTGTTTACTTTTAAAATTTAAAACATTCAAAATTTTTTTAACAGTGATATAAGATACCTTCGAGAATTCAATGTACTTTATAGATATTTAGACGAATTTCATTTGTATCAGGGACAAAATCTTCACCACAATATATTGGTGCTAATTTACACCGTAGGGCGTAATTTTAATGCCTTTGAGTCACCACACGGTAAAAACGGTTCCTGGTTTTCCCAGGAACTCCCTGGAAATCGCCTATGTCTCTGCCATAGGCTTCCTGGGAAAACCCGGTACCGTTTTTACCGTGCAGTGCACGATATCAAGACTCACGACCCACCTCACTGGTAATTGTCGACTGATTGTCTTCAACAGTGACGTAATACCTCGTATTCTTGCAAGGCAAGGGGCTATTCTTGGGGATGATGACGCTGAACCTTCCTCCAATTTCGTCAGTGCCCAGCGACAGGGGAGTCACGTCCTTGAGCTTGACAAGCTTGTTGGCCTGCGTGTCGCCGGTGAGGACCGCGGCCCGCACCGCCGCGCCGCTCGCCACCGCCTCGTCCGGGTTGACGGAGTGGCGCAGCTCCTTGCCGCCGAAGAAGGCTGCCAGCAAGGCGCGCACCTTGGGGATGCGCGTCGAGCCGCCCACCAGCACCACCTCGTCGATGTCGGCGCGGGGAACCTGAAGAAAAGACTCAGTCAAAATCAGGGCGCGCTTACTCCAAAATTTTCATTTTTGAAATTTTGTTTCGGAAACGGCTTTACTGAGATTCCAAACGATATGAGTATAGCACGTATGGTGCAATGCAGCTGAGATATCGCACCATACGTGCAATGCGTCCCGAAAATGTCCTATGCTAACGCGTAGGAATTGGGAGGCATTGCACTTCATGTGCAATGCTTTTGCATTGCACCAATTGACAACATTGAGAATCCAAACGCTATGAGTACATAGCGTTTGGATTCTCAATGTTGAGACAGTCTGCCGGACTATCATGTATCATGTACGGAACATGGATGTTCTCCGTACATCTACAATAGAGTGCGCGAACCCACCTCTGAGTCGGCCAGCACCTCAGTGGCCACTTCGATCGTCTTCCGGAACAGGTCGGCGCAGAGGTCTTCGAAGCGCGCCCGGCTGATCTTGGTGGCGTACCCGCGCTGGTGGCGCGCCAGGAACACCGAGAGCGGCGCCTCGTGGACACTCGACAGCTTCCGCTTGGCCAGCTCGCACGCCCTGCGCACCTCCTGCAGGCTTTGCTGGTCCTTCAAGGCCCACAGGTCGATGCCGTGCTGGGTGCGGATCTCCTGCAAGCACAGCTTAAAGGGGGTGAGGCCAGATTATGGCATGTGCCGAGGGGAGAACAACTACACACTAAATTCTTATGGACTTTTTAAATGCATAATGACGCATAATTTATGCATAGTTATGCATGCGCAGAAACGTCCATAAGGTATGAATAAAATTATGCATCATTGTGTACATTTTATGCACCTTCCTGCATAAAATGTACACAGTGATGCATAATTTTATACATAACATATGGACGTATCTGTGCATGCATAACTATGCATAAAAAAGTCCATAAGAATTTAGTGTGTACACTGTCGCCCGCCCCACTTTTTAGGGTGCCAAATGTCGCCCAGTTCCTGGGCACCTTTGTCGCCTAGTCTTGGGGTGGACAAACCATTAACGAACCTGCCTTCAACCATGGCTCAGCAGCGACCAAGGTGCCAAAGGTGCCCAGGAACTAGACACCTGAGTAAGCTCCATCATGGGAGAGGGCCGGTTACTGTATGATTAATTGTCCACCCCGAGACTAGGCGACAAAGGTGCCCAGGAACTGGGCGACATTTGGCACCCTAAAAAGTGGGGCGGGCGCCCAGTTTCTGGGCTAGACACCCTGCATTTAGAGTGTACCCACATTCATTGTACAAAATTTGAACACATTCCCACAATCTCAAGGGGAAAACGCCTGCACGTAGGCAACAAGTGTGACAAATACAGCAGAAATCTTACACATTATTCCAACACATTCCCTCATTCATTGACACTAGATCTTGGGTCACCCCTCGGCATGTGCGAATAGCTGAGTGCGCGATTGCACTCCCAATATCCTACTGAGCTTTTTCTTCGTAATACTAACAAAAAGCTTAGTTTTATGACTGCGCAGCAAGGGTAGAACTCTTCACCTTAGGTAACCATCTTCGCTGCGCAGTCATAATACTAAGCTTTTTAACATTTATAACATGTAGTGCGTGGGCTCCTTACCACACGAACTTCCTTTCCAGATCGAAAGACTGTCTTCAGCAGTCCCGTCAGGAATCACCGACAAATTACAGGTCTCGTGACTTAGCTGTTCTCATTTCTAGATATTCCAATAGAAGCAACCGCCCCGAGGGGTCGTCAGCTTGCATATTACTTCGTACACAGGCTGTATATTACTTTTATATTACTCTTATATTACCGCTAAAAATTCATAAATATTACCGAATAGACTACTTAGCCTAGGTAGTATGAAAAATCAGCCAAAAACGGTAATATAGGACGTATATTACCATATATTACTGTATTACTTCGTACACGCTCGATAGGAGTTGACGACCCCTCGCACCGCCCAGTTCCAAAGACGAAGTTTATGATTAGGATAGACCTATCCGATAGGATCCGGTCTCCAGACTGCAGTCAAACTCAGGTATTGCAGTACAACATGACCTACACTGCAAAACCAAACGTTGTCCAGACCGCACCACTGGTGTGGTCAGATGGGTGCCATTTTGACATCAGTTGGTGGTCTAGACCACGTTTGGCCAAGTTTGGTGCGGTCTAGACCACACCAACTGGTGTGATCAAAATGGCATCCATTTGACCACACCAGTTGGTGCGGTCTAGACCACGTTTGGGTTTTCAGTGTACCTCGACGCAGTGGTTCAGCAGCCGCGTGTCGAAGTCCTGGCCGCCGAGGTGCGTGTCCCCGCCCGACGCCACGACTCTGAACTCGCTGTCCTGGATGACCATGACCGACACGTCGAACGTGCCGCCGCCCAGGTCGTAGATGAACACCGTCTTCTTGGTGGACGATTCGTTGTCCAGGCCGTACGCGATGGCGGCCGCCGTGGGCTCGTTGATCATGCCCACCACCTCCAGGCCCGCGATGGCGCCTGCACGACGAAAGAAGTCAATAGAACGTGACTCGTATCGTGCCTTCATTTTCTTTGTGGTTTTAAAGCAAATGCTTCGTAGGCTTATAAGAGTGCACAGTAAATATGTTTTGAGTCTGCCGTAAACTTAACCAGCAAGAAGGTACTGAGGTGAATAGAATTTTCCGTAGATCGCGCAGTTCTTATCCCATGATGCTCGCCGGGACCTACCAAGATACATTGTGCGCTTGTTTACAGCCAAAATCAAACTCAACCTTGGCTACCTCCTTCCCCAATCTCGGTGTCATGAATGACTTGAGAAATGACGCAACTGTGTCAGAATCAACTTCAGGCCCAATTCCTTGCCGAAAACTTTTTGATCAGTCTTACACAAATTGAGTCCGGAACTCCTGTGAGAAGGGTTCTTGGCCATATTCGTTTGAGTGTGTTGTCGGCCGGGAGTCCATTTCGACCCCCCCCCCCCTCTTTTCCCCATATGCCCAAAATGACCAAGAAACGACCTCGCAAACTGCACACTCGGCTGGAATTGGCAACGCCTGCTCACCGGCTGCCTTGGTGGCCTGGCGCTGGCGCTCGTTGAAGTAGGCCGGCACGGTGATGACTGCCTTCGTCACCGTCTGGCCCAGGGCGTCCTCGGCCGTCTTCTTGAGGTCCTTCAGCACCATGGCCGAGATCTGCAACAGACCATCACTGTGGATCAGCCGAGGACAGGAACCAAACCAAAGGAAGAAGGAGGGTGGCTGATGGTTAATTCCCAGGTGCAAAACTGCTTATGCAATCAATAGATGAGCTCGTGATAAATCGTGCAAAACAATATACGAGATGTCATCGAGAAAGAGAGAGGGCAACACGGCAACAGCAATGCCCTGGGATTATTAAGCGGCTTCTGAGAAATAGTCCCTTAAGTATTTCACAGTGAATCGATCATTCGCTGAGCACAGATAAATTCCGACAAAGAGCGTTCCTTGAAGCCACAAAGAAACCAGGCTTCGCTGCATACGAAAGAATTCGCTAGGAGTGTAGCCTACGAAGAATTTCTTCGCAGCCTGTGAAGGATTTTTCCTTTCTATTAGGAACAAAACCAATTTTCGTCATATCCGTAGTAGGATGCGAAGCCTCCGTTTTCTTTGAAATACGAAAAGCGTTCTTTGCATAGTTTTAAGAGTGTGTCATTCAACAAAAATCAAGAATAGAGTGTCCATTTTCTTCGACGATTTACGTAGCATTAAGAGTCAAGTACACTGCGAGAAAAATTGTGAAAAGTACAAGGAGAACTCAGAAAGAAAAGTACAACGAGGATCGTGGAAAGCACGACGAGAATTTTAGAAAGTACAACGAGGCCTGGACTGCACTTGTCAAGCTGGTTCCATTGAACAACAAACAGTTGTTGCGCTTCGGAAGTAAATTTTTTGTTTCGTAAAAAAATTGCTAGGAATTTTTTAGGTTTGTTGGGTTTTTTCTAGCAGTGTAATGTGACGCTTTTAAAAGAAGCGTTTGGCTCGATTGAACTGAACTTTTGTTCACAGGACCGCATTGGTGAAAGAAAGGCATAAAAATTACGCTCTTATGGGCATAGATACACTTTTTATGCTCTTTTATACTCTTTTAAGGGCATAAATACTCTTCTTATGCCCTTGGGAAGGGCGCAAGCACCAGTGCACAGCACTTCGCAACTTACAAACACATGATTCACTGTCAGAAAAAAGTACGGAAAAAGTACGGAACATGTCTGGTCAATAATTTGCCTGGACCGTCCGTACTTGCCAACTACGGAACGTTCCGTACCTTTTTTCCGTACCCATTTACATGGGTTCCTATGGAGCAAGTACGGAACGTTCCGTACTTTTCTCCGTACTTCCGTACTATATTTTTCTGTATCATTTCCGTACAAAAGTACGGAATTTTTTACAGTGTTCGCAAAACAAGCGGTTTGGAAAACGATCGCGCTTCTCGCGTTTCCGAAAAGGTCAGATTCTTCGCAAGAACTGAAGAACAAACCTCACCTCTTCCGGCGCGAAGATCTCGCTCTTCCCGTCCATGTTGACCGAGATGATCGGGGCCCCGTTCTCCTCCACCAAGTCGAAGGGCCACAGCTTCCGGTCGGCCTGCACATTGTCGTCCTTCCAGGGACGGCCGATGAGCCGCTTGGCGTCTGACAAGGCAACACATCGGAAGGCACACTCTAAATGTCTCACAAAGAAATTTTACATTGTGCGAAGGAAATGGCGCAAGCATAACACGACGGTAGTTTTTCTTCGAATCATGAAGGCTTTTCTTTGAACACGCTACAATGCAAATTGGATGGAAAGACTTCGCGCCCAAATATGGCATTAAAGTCTCGCCTGGTCCGGCCTGAAAGTCTCGCCAAAATTTCGTTAGACAAAAAAGTCTCACCACAAATCGGTCAGACACAAAAGTCTCACCACGAAATGGCGAGACTTTTGTATCTGACCGCTTTGTGGCAAGACTTTTTGGTCTGACCAAATTTTTCGAGACATTTAGATCTGACCAAAACTTGGCGAGACTTTTAAGTCTCGCCTCTGGAGTGGCGAGAAGTCTGACCTATGGATTTCTAGTGTAATTGTTCACGTACAACTTTTAACGTGGCGATGGAAGGTTTCAAATCTGTGTGACATTCATAGTCATTGCATAAAATTGTACTTCTTTTTTCATTGATTTGTATATTTGTTCACATTACATACATATTAGCACCAATCGGATTTAAATTTGAGGGACAGTTTGGTTGCTCGACCGCGAAAGCACAATGCAATTTAGTCCCAAAGATTGGAAGAAAAAGAGAGAATAAGGAGGGTGCGTACCGTAGACCTGGCTCGAGGCCGGCAGGTCCTTGGCGGCCTCCCCGACGAAGGACTCGCCGCCCATGAAGCCCACCACGCTGGGGGTGGTGCGGCTGCCGCTGTCGTTGGCCAGCACCTCCACCTTGCCCTTGCGGCACACCGCCACCACGGAGAACGTGGTCCCCAGGTCGATGCCCACTGGAGGCCCGGCGGGCAGCGGCTGCGAAGTCACTCCTGCACCAACAGACAACGAAGCGTAAGCTACACTGAGAATGAACGAGTCATGATCATGACTAAAATTTTGGGTGAGGAATTCTTTATTGCCCAAATTTGGGTGAGGAATGTTTTCCTCGCCCAAATTTTGGCGAGGAAGGTTTCCTCACCCAAATTTGGGTCTTAATACCATGCGGAGCCATAGGTAGCTGATACTCCCTTCCTCGCCCAATTTTGGGCGAGGAAGCTTTCCTCGCCCAAATTTGGGCGAGGAAGCTTTCCTCGCCCAAATTTGGGAGATAAAGTATACCTCGCCCAAAATTGGGTATTGATCAAGACTGTTTCTTTCTCAGTGTACACAGTAAACTTCTTACGGATACATCCTATCTGTATTACGGACATTTTTGTGCAATTGCAATTACGGATAGATTTTGCTTGTAATACGGATGATTTTATCCGTAATACAAAGGTTTTCGTGTCCGTAACATACAGACGAAAATATCCGTATGGTACGGACGTAAAACTCTTTGTAATACGGATGATTTCATCCGTATTACAAGCAAAATCTATCCGTAATTGCAATTGCACAAAAATGTCCGTAATACAGATAGGATGTATCCGTAAGAAGTTTAGTGTGTAGGCACGAAACTAACTGTGCATGCGTTTCAAAATGCACGAATTTGTGCGCAACTCCGCACGAAAACATTCGTTTTGTCTCATGAAATTCGTGCATTTTGAGACGCATGCACGCACAGTTTCGTGTATGGCTTGTGCGCAAAATAACTACATGGTAATTTAGTGTGTTCAAAATACAAAACGAAAAGCTATTGTTCAAAACGAAATTGAAAAATCCTAAAGGGTGCGTTTTAAAACCCCATTAATCAAAAAAGATATTCTTACTTTGCTTTAGCCACCAGGAACTCATTAGAAATAGAAATATTGGAGGTTTCTAGTTTGGCGGGTATAGGAGGCAGTTGTTTTCCTATCAAGTTCTCCCAAAGCAATTAAGATATTTTTTTTACAACTATAAAGTTAACTCCAGTTCAAGCGTGAAGATGTGCAGAGCTGTTCTGCACGCGATGTGCACTTCATTACATAAGCATCGTTTCACAAACAGCAAGAACTGCACTCCTAAGATCCTACTGAACCTTTTCATCGTATACCTTCAACCTCGAACTGAGTTTTTAGTTAATAATTTAATAACGTATTGACGTTTGAGCGCATCAATAGGCCTAAGCGTATTAACATTGCACTTGGCCAAGTATGTGTTTGTGTGTACTTGCAAGCATGCATTTGTAAGTGTGTACTAAGTAGACAGTTTGTAGTGTAGTGCCTCTTGTTATTCGTGTTACTATCGTGAGAGAATCACTCACCTTTACCCGCCATTTTCGATCCAGGACCAGAGAGTGCGGGAGGCCAGTCAACTCAGTCACGCTAATTGGATCGACTCCGACAGATGCCACGCGGAGGCTGCGCTGGTTCGCTGAGCGAGCTCCGGACAACCTGGTAATCCTAACAAGATTTTCCGTTTCATCAAATGCAAGAATCAAGGCATCTGTTTCGTAATTATGAAGAAAATGAAAGCATCGTAGAATGTGCTTCGTATTGCAGAGGATTCTGCCTAATAATTAAAAAGCGTTTCACTCTAAGAAATTCTTGTAAAATGATGAGAAAAATTTTGATGAACACTTTGTAAAACGCAAAACACGACAATTGTTGTAAATTTATGAAAAAAATCTGGATGAACTATTTGTAAAACGCAAAACACAACAATCGTTGTAATTTTATGAAAAAAAATGTGGATGAACTATTTGTAAAGCGCAAAACACAACGATTGTTGTAAATTTATGAACAAAATCTGGATGAACTATTTGTAAAACGCAAATCACAACAATCGTTGTAATTTTATGAAAAAAATTCTGGATGAACTATTTGTAAAACGCAAAACACAACGATTGTTGTAAATTTATGAACAAAATCTGGAGGAACTATGTCACTGATACTTTGACAGAGTGACGAAAGTCCAAAATTTTGATAAAATGAGATTTTTGGCTGCGTTCTAGAACTTTTGATTTTCTGTCGACTGGTGAAAAGCATATGTCGATATCTCTAATAGATTCAGCGTAGGAAAATACTTCAAAATGACGAAAGTCCAACTGTACTTTGACAAAATGACGAAAGTCCAACCGTACGTTGACAAAATGACGAAAGTCCAGCCGTTCTTTGACAAAACGACGAAAGTCCAACCGTACTTTGACAATATGACGAAAGTCCCAACTGCAAAAACCGGTCGTAGTTAACTATTGCTTTCCAATTAAGATAATTATTCATGAGTTCAGTGACGGCATGAACATAAAACATGCCAGAGTTGAAAAGTTTCATTTAATTTGTGTTAGCAGGAAAGGTGGACTTTCGCCATATTGTCAAATTACGTATGGACTTTCGTCGTTTTATCAAAGTACGGTTGGACTTTCGTCGTTTTGTCAAAGTACGGTTGGACTTTCGTCGTTTTGACCTCATGTTCGTACGCTGAGAAATGGCGAATGTCCACTATCTCGGGAACTAAGCTGCCGATTGCAATGGCTCTTGAACCTAAAGAACACTCATGCCTTCAGGATTCTATGGTGTTAAACCCAACCATCAAATCCCAAAACTCTATTTTGCAGCTCAAATTTTAGACTTGTTTTGACTCTCCTGAAAAATATGAGATTGTGGACTTTCGTCACTTTGTCAAAGTACCAGTGATGTGTGAAACGCAAAACACAACGATTGTTGTAAATTTATGAACAAAATCTGGATGAACTATTTGTAAAACGCAAAACACAACGATTGTTGTAAATTTATGAACAAAATCTGGATGAGGTATTACACGGGATGTTCATTCAAGATATATTTTTGGATGAACTTTATTGTAAGGCTCCAAGTACATCACTGGTTGTAAATTCAGGATACAGTTTTGGATAAACTTTATCGTAAATCTCCAACTACAATACTTTGTGTTAATTTACTTCAAAAAATTGGATTAAATTTATCGTTGTTACATTTTATGACCCTTGTTGTAAATTTATGAAAAGAAATTGGATGAACTAAGTTGCTAACGTTTACTTGTTTAAAGAACAGTAAAGTCATTAGGTAGCTGGCTCCCCAGCTAGCGTGTGTCTTGGTAGCTCAGTGGTAGAGACCGTGCACCGAAAGAGTAAAGTTGTGGGTTCAAATCTGTCAGGGAAATCGAAGTATAACCATTGCAGAAGAAGGTGAAGGGAAGTGTCATATTTTTACAACCAAAAAATCTTATTGATTTTACACATTTTGTCGTAAAATTAAAAAACGATACTTTTCTTCAAATAATGACTCTTGTCATATTCTACTGAGGCCAGAAAAAAAAAAGAAACTTCCCCGATTTTACCAGTTTAGTTGTAATATAATGACTTTTTTCTTCAAATGATGATTACTTTTGTATTCTGCAAAGGACTTCATGGATCCAGAAAACTGTCTTCCTTATGTCGTTAAATTACAAAACTTCTTGTAAAAATACGACGTGGTTGTAATTTGAAAATACAAAGGGTTTGTGATAGAAAATTTGCAGAGGTTTTGTTGTCATTTTACAAAAAAAATTTTGAGAGTGTTCTTTGAATATTTTAAAATGACCGCGGTAGATGTTAATGTACAATTTTGAACGCGGTGTTGCACGATTTTAAACCTGTGTAATGTTTTGAATAAATTTGAGCTTGTGATCAAATGTGCACTCTCAGCATCTCTATTAGGGTGGATCATAAATTCTGACCCCCTAATTTTATTGGCGAAATGGAGTCTTGGGGATAGTAGAAGACCGTTAACGAGTTGGTTTCGATCGGGAAAAAATTTGAACATATTAGTGGGGGGGCCCAAAGTTGGGTCTGAAGCTCCAAAATAGAGGTTTTTGGGTGATTTCTCGGGAACTAAATGAGATATCAAAACGGCTGGGGTCTCAAAAGTTGCGGAATTTTATTCTCTTTCGATTGACACTACTGTCAGCTTCGTAAGACAACTCTTTGATGGAGCAACATTGCGATTTATCGGCCCAAAAATGTTCAAAAGTCCCGAAAATGTCATATAACTTTTTTCCCGTTGCTGGTAACTGACTTCCGGATATACCATTCGATTCCTTGTAAAAAAAATAATCAAAAAAGGTCAATACATTTTGTAAGCTCCGACTTGTAATTAAAAATTTCTGGGTCATTTAATGTAGAAAAATACAAAAATTTGAATTGTTTTGAAGCTATGCACAAGATATAAGCATGCCAGAGTAACGGCTGGGGTCTCAAAAGATGCGGAATTTTATAAGCTTTCGTTTGAGCCCAGAACGAGCCCTGTAGGACAACTCCTTCTATAGGAAACATGTGAAAAACTGCATGAAAAAGAACTTGAAAAAGAGCACTGCTCCCAGCAAACTCATCGGGGACTGAAATTTCGACGCTTTTTCTGGCAGTTTTTCACATGTTTCCTATAGAAGGAGTTGTCCTACAGGGCTCGTTCTGGGCTCAAACGAAAGCTTATAAAATTCCGCATCTTTTGAGACCCCAGCCGTTACTCTGGCATGCTTATATCTTGTGCATAGCTTCAAAACAATTCAAATTTTTGTATTTTTCTACATTAAATGACCCAGAAATTTTTAATTACAAGTCGGAGCTTACAAAATGTATTGACCTTTTTTGATTATTTTTTTACAAGAAATCGAACGGTATATCCGGAAGTCGGTTACCAGCAACGGGAAAAAAGTTATATGACATTTTCGGGACTTTTGAACATTTTTGGGCCGATAAATCGCAATGTTGCTCCATCAAAGAGTTGTCTTACGAAGCTGACAGTAGTGTCAATCGAAAGAGAATAAAATTCCGCAACTTTTGAGACCCCAGCCGTTTTGATATCTCATTTAGTTCCTAAGAAATCACCCAAAAACCTCTATTTTGGAGCTTCAGACCCAACTTTGGGCCCCCCCACTAATATGTTCAAATTTTTTCCCGATCGAAACCAACTCGTTAACGGTCTTCTACTATCCCCAAGACTCCATTTCGCCAATAAAATTGGGGGGTCAGAATTTATGATCCACCCTAATCTCTATGGTTTTTTTTTCCAATATGTCTATAGTAAAAAGAAATTTACTGTAGTCACAGTGAAATTTACGATTAGCCGTAGTAAAAATATACAGCAAACTAACTGAAAACCTTTTATTCACTTTATCTTCTGTAAAGCACAGTAAAAACCCACAGAGAAAAATAACTGTGTGAATGCAGTAAACATTTTTCATGAATATAGTATTTTTTACTGTAGATTATGGGAAAAGTAATGTGGTACTTATAGTGAAATTATACTGCGTGTACCACGGTAAAAGATTAATGAGTGAATTTAAGTGGCCCAAAGGGGCATTTATTTGCAGAAATTGATTTGTATTGACAAGGCGAACAAAAAATGTCAAGGCATGACATAGGTTTGGATGGGAAATAAAGAAGTTATTGAACCCATTTTAGCACTATCGAAGTTCCCAAACAATTCCAAAATATTTTTCTGTAGACTTACAGACTAACTTTTTTGTGCATCACAAAGAATTTTCACTGTTGTTGTAGAATAGTTTTACTGTATGCACAGACAATATATTCTGTTGTCATTGACATTTTTTCTCGTATCTGTCCACTGATGATATTAAATTACTATTGCTGTAGTAAATATTTGTCTGTAATACTGTATTTTCCTTCATGAAATTATCTGCAGCTCACAGAGATTTTTTTCAGCAAAATACCGTGATTTTTTACTATATTATAGTTACGCTCTAAAATCACTAAGCCACAGAAAAAATTTTTCATAATATAGAATAAAAAGTCTATAGAAGATTGAGAGTGTGTGTAAATTTACGCATCTATCCGCACAATATGCAAATTCCACGTATGCTCAAAATCGTGCAAGTTACACGTACAAAATTCTACATTAACATTTAATGTGGCGTCGTTTTCTTCTGGTTTCAAAGCGATGCTTCATATTGACTTTATAGACAGCAGCGTCGTCAGAGCAGGACGGGTAGTTGGTTGTATGTTACGGACCTATTAAATAATGTGTGTATAAATAAATTTGACCTTCACCCTCAGTCATATTAGCCAGGATCTTCATGAGTTTTTCGGATTTTCTTTGAAACGGGTCTGGAGCTGTGCACTGTGGTGGTGCCAACTATGAGCGGCCTGTACCGTACTCAGAGAAGGGAAAATATTGAGACATATTTCGGGTCTCTAAGGTAACAAAACCGTCGTTCCTTTATTCATACGCGAACCCTCGAGCCAAACGTGCATAAAATAGAGATATCTACTCCCTGCTCCGCTAGACGACTCTCGGCGTGACAAGATCCAGTTCAGCCCTACCTTCAAGGTTATCAAGTAAGATACTGCTCTCTGGCTCGAATACTTGGAAGGATCCAGCGATCCAGCACATAACGCTACTTACATGGGAAAAGGGTATCTGTCCTGCGTAACACGGCGGTACATGCACGGTAAAAACGAAACCTGGTTTTCCCAGGAGGCCAATGGTGAAGGCATAGGCACTGCAGGAAACAACCACAACAAAAGGACACAAATTTCTGGCAAATTTTTTATCAGGAATTTAATGTACTTTTCAAATACAACAACTGTTGTACAAAGTACAATGGGACCGGCATGACGAGTGCTGTGCAGTCCAGGGCTCAGGGCTCGTTGTGGTTTGTACAATTCTCGTTGTACTTTCTACAATCCCTGATGTGCTTTTATTGTACACACACTAAACTTCTTACGGATACATCCTATCTGTATTACGGACATTTTTGTGCTATCGCAATTACGGATAGATTTTGCTTGTAATACGGATGAAATCATCCGTATTACAAAGAGTTTAACGTCCGTATAGTACAGATATTTTCGTCTGTATGTTACGGACACGAAAACCTTTGTATTACGGATAAAATCATCCGTACAACCAAAATCCATCCGTAATTACGCTTGCACAAAACCGTCCGTATTGCGGATACATGGTGTCCGTAAGGAGTCTTGAGTGCAGTTTTTGTTGTACTTTTGTTGTACTGTCCAGTGGGCGATTTCCACGGAGTTCCTGGGATAACCAGGAACCGTTTTTACCGTGGGGACGGGGTCCGAACCAGAGTAACGTTAAGGGGGGAGACTCGTCTTTAACACAAAAATTTTAACAAATTTCAGGCTTAAATAAAAAATGTTTCCAATAGATTTGAAGGTTAGTGGGGTTTTCCAATAAAAAGCTGGTTCTTTAATCTTGATTTTGAAAAAAAAAGTTTGTCTCTAGGCCCTATGACCTAGAATCTGTGATCTTTCTACTAAACCGCTAAAATTGCGCCAAAAATTCACTGCGCGCATGATTTTTAGAGAATGCGGCATCATATCATAAATGATCCACGAAGCGGAAGAAGGGGTTAAGTCGAGTTGATTCAGTGACCTCTTATCAGCCTATCAAGTAAACATGAGCGAAAATTTGGTCCAAAAATAAGTGTGGTGAGACACATCCCATCCTCTTGCATCTATTTTTAGATGACATTCCCCACCTGTTCTTCCACCTGCAAGGTTTAGGCCTTGCAAAAGTGCACGGACTCAACTCGACTTACCCCCTTCTTCCGCTTCCTGGATCAAATGTCTTTGTTGCTCCCTCAAGAAGACTCCTGGCACTCTAGATTGAACTAGAATGATTGAAATACCTGGTTCCTAAGTGCCTGAAATTTACATTTTTAAGTGTATAAAAAAAAGCCTTTAAATTTAGACATTTCGATCATTTTTATTGGGCACTTCTACTGGTCCGATTGAAGATATCCTAGTTCAGAGTGACGGCCTTATAGAGGCAAAACATAGGAAAAATGATTGAGTCGAAACAATCAACGGTCTGGCTCAAATCGTGCGCGCAGGACCCAAAATATTGCAATTGAGTAAAATGGCTTCAAAGTTCGAACGGTCTAACCTATCCTGTGGAAAAATAATTACAAAATGTCACCCTATGGCCAAACGGTTTTGAAATTCAAAATCAGCCAGCCACCAATTTCAAGGGTTTGACACAAAGAATTCAAAAAAATCAAAAACGCAAATCTGATTTTTTGACGTAGAATGACGAGTCTCCCCCCTTAAACGACATTCACTTGGTCATATAACTCGGCCGCGACACAGCTGCGATTCAGCTAAACGTGAAGTCCGTTACGAAAGTTCCGAAAGTCATTCGCTGCACCAAAGCAGTAGGAATAACGCCTGGAGCCGCAGTCGCAAACACTATTCCCCGTCCCGCGGTGCACAGTAAACTTCTTACGGATACATCCTATCTGTATTACGGACATTTTTGTGCAATTGCAATTACGGATAGATTTTGCTTGTAATACGGATGATTTTATCCGTAATACAAAGGTTTTCGTGTCCGTAACATACAGACGAAAATATCCGTATGGTACGGACGTAAAACTCTTTGTAATACGGATGATTTCATCCGTATTACAAGCAAAATCTATCCGTAATTGCAATTGCACAAAAATGTCCGTAATACAGATAGGATGTATCCGTAAGAAGTTTAGTGTGTGGAGTCACCGTCTACAGAGTGCCTTCAGGCCCGCCGAAGCTACTTACGTTACGCCGGGAGCGGCGATCGCGAACCTTATCTTTTCGTTTTATTTCTCTGAGACAGCCGATCCTCCGTCGGAAGGCACAGGCCTGGCCGGCTGCGTGCGAACTAGCCTGTCGCAGTGGCCGTGTACCGCCCGGCCGCCGCCCGGCCTGTATTCCCCTTGCGTATATACGTCACCAGACGACGTCTCGCCTAGCCGGCCAGCGAGCGGGAAGCACTGTGACTGGACGTGCAGTGAGTCGTCTGCTGCTGTCACAGCGTGAGGGCGTGTGCCGCGTGGTCTTACAGTGCCTCGCATAGAGCGACGACGGCTGCCTCGTGGTGTCAACGTCAACGACTACGCTGGGAGCGTGGAGCAGTCGAAGCCGCCAAGGAGCAGCCAGGCCGTCCAGCTGCGTTCTCGTTCCGTTTGCCGGCCTGACGGAGAAGGAGAGTGCCTGCGAATTTCCTGCCAGTCGATTCGGTGAGTGCGCGGAAGAAAAAACTGGAGGCAACCACTCGACTGGTCTCTTTGTTCACTCAGGATCGAAAATAGTCTAGGGTTTAGGTAAGGAGCGAAGAAGAGGGACTCCACCGGAAACGATAGTCGACACGAGCGGACGCGTTTCTTGGCTTCATCCTCCAATCCAAGGTGCGATCGCAGAAGGAAATCGCCTTCGGTGACTCATGGATGTCGGAAGATTTTACCCAGTTTGAGGCCGAAACTTAGCTACTTTGCTTTGTTTGGGGAAAGACTTTTCGGATTTTAAGGGATTGCAGGTGAAGAGGACACAGGATTTCTCGAGTGGTCGCCACCTCACTAACGTTTCCCTCACTCCGAATTTCGCTGTGCACATAGTGATAGTCTTTTATTGTCTGGGATTCTGTATGATTTTGCCCCACCTTTTGCCAACTTTCACGCTTTTCTGGTTCTCCTCCTAGCGTACACCGATTGTTAGTGGGGGACCCCTTGTTCCAATCTGTGCTACTTCTCATAATTTAGGCCTGAATCTGCGTTTTCCATGTTTTTCTAAGAATGTAACGTCATATGAATGAATGAATCGTTGAAAACGAATGAATACGAATCAACGTGATAAGTTTGTGATGCCCTTTGAACTAGCGTTACGCTCATTTCGTATCATTGTCACCAGTGAGACGCATTCAAACAAACGTGGCAGCCAAACGATGTCTCGAAACAAACGCGTCAAATGATTTCCTGCTATGGCGCTTCCATAGGGTATTTTCGTAGATCCTGAACCGGAAGCACACAGACGCCATGTGGCGGAAGTAGATCAAAACTAGACATGGGAAAGAGACGATAGTCAAACGTATCGGCCACACTTGAACATTAACAGTCGTTTGATACTTACTTGCAGTGCATATGTGTTTCGCGAGCAACATTTGTACAGCTCGGCTATAGTTTCAGATCCGAAGAGAGGTTAGTTTCCGGCCAACATGGCGTCTACTTGCTTCCGGTTTAGGAACCCTATGCACTGTCATTCATTTTGCGGTACCTGTTCTGCAAGGTTTTGTATGTATTAAAACCATGTTTGCGCTCCTAAAATTTATTCGAGTTAATTGGATTCTGGAGTGCAATATTTCAGTTATGCTTAACTACCGCTTAATTTTTTTGGCAACGAAAGAGTCGTTTGTAGTTGTTTTACAGCAACTTTTTAAATTTTTGATTGCATTTTGTGTGAGAAGTATTGCAGGATTGTAATATTTTTGGCTGAGCCAAACTTTATCTTTATCTTTATCTTATACGTTAACTGGGCGAAGCCCTGCATTCAGCCCACAGCCCAGAGCCCAGTGGAGATGCCGGGACTTGGCGGGACCCAGCCGGTTGTCAAGTTTACTTTCGATCTTTAGGCGTGTTAAAACCACGAAAGTAGCATAAAATGTATATGCATGGAAAGGGGAAAGTTCAAAGATTACATTGACGCCAATTTGGACGAAAATAAACTCTTAATGTGAAAATGAGAAGACGACGGGCGTGAAATGGCGAAGGCGAGAGAAGGCGAAAACGATCGTCGGGCCGTCGTTTACTCGCATCTTTGAGCATGTTAGAACGCCGAAAGTGGCACAAATTGTATATTTATGGAAAGAGGAAGGTTCAAAGATTACATTGACGCTAATTTCTGTGAAATTGAACTCTTTATGTGAAAATGAGAAGACGACGGAGGTGAAATGGCGAAGGCGAGAGAAGGCGAAAACGATCGTCGGGCCGTCGTTTACTCGCATCTTTGAGCATGTTAGAACGCCGAAAGTGGCACAAATTGTATATTTATGGAAAGAGGAAGGTTCAAAGATTACATTGACGCTAATTTCTGTGAAATTGAACTCTTTATGTGAAAATGAGAAGACGACGGGCGTGAAATGGCGAAGGCGAGAGAAGGCGAAAACGATCGTCGGGCCGTCGTTTACTCGCATCTTTGAGCATGTTAGAACGCCGAAAGTGGCACAAATTGTATATTTATGGAAAGAGGAAGGTTCAAAGATTACGTTGACGCTAATTTCCGTGAAATTGAACTCTTTATGTGAAAATGAGAAGACGACGGGCGCGAAATGGTGAAGGCGAGAGCGCACTAGCTGAACTGTCAATAGCATGATCCTGCCAATAGTGAAGCGCAGAGTCGTTCGAGCAGAAAGCAGAATTCGAATAACATTCTTTCAGATAACTTGACACTTTAAATGTACTAATGATTGTTCGTTCACCATAATCGTAACGTGGAATCGAAGGAAATGAGTACATGAAACCTGCATTCTATTGACACATCTCACCGTTCATAATCTTAATGATGGAATAATATTTTTCCAAATTTGATTGGTTATACATTCAAAGTAGTTTCTGTAAAACGATTGAAATTTATTATCATGCGTTTTATCAAACATCTAACACTGGCACATGTATCACAGTGCCTTGTGTTTTTCTTGTAGACTAATATTCACTTCACAAAAGTTTATGATGCGAAGCGATAGATCAAACGAAATTAAAGACCTTATTCTCTGCGGTCATCCAAAATATAAAAGAGACAAGGAGAATCTTCAGGGGAATATATGGCCCTTGCCACTTTCTCTTGTTGGTGGATGTAAATTGTGAGCGCTTAAAGGCGTTCTGTGGGCAAAGGCGTTCTGTTGGGGTAGGCGTTCTGCCTGCCTAGGGGGATGTTATGTGTTAGGTGGCCTTTGCCACTTGTTCTTAAAATTACACATAAACTGTTGGTGCGCAGTTGTGTGGGTTGCACAAAGGCAACTAGAAAAAGAACAAACAGCTACAATCTTTCTGATAGAGAACTTGATACCTTTAAATGCAACCAATGACATTCCTTAGCTTTTATTTGTAATGTGAAACTGATGAAAACATAATCATGACATCTGTAGTTATTGACTTATATGCAATCAAAGAAGTTCTGTTAAGGTTATTGTAAAGTGAAAAAAGTAACTATTTAATTTTTATTTTGTGTCAAATGTCTTAATTTATGGATAAAAGTTCCTTTCTATTGCATAAACTCATGCACTAAGAGCAGGGCCCCACTTCATTTTAGTTTCGAGTTATGGATGTTTACGGTAACTTTCAGTCGTTTCTCTCAAATTCTCCTCACGACAAAGGATTAGCTACCCAGTCCCCAGATTCTAGCAATTGTATTCTTCTTTGCCTAGGAAAAAGATAGCGTTGCCCTTTTTTCAATATGTCACTTAGTTTTCTTCAAAATTCCAAGACCTAAATAAGACAAAATCTCTCAAATTTGAAGAAAGATAAAAATGGGCCTGGTGAAATAGCTTTTACAGCCTCTTCCAGACTGATATTTTCAAATTTGCCCACGCTATCTTTTTCCAGTGCAATAATAGATATACTTGTCCGAATCTGAAGACTGGGTAGCAAATCATTTGTCATGAGGAGAATTTGGGAGAAACGACTAAAAGTTAACGTAAACATCCATAACTCAGAAACTAATAGGAGTTGGGGCTCCCAACTTCAGAAGTAAATTCACCTAGTAGTGGTTGAGTTTTGACCTCAAAATGAACTTTCTGTGACAAATACTTTTAGGACATTCTAGTTTCACTTGACAGTATCCTTAATCTAGAGATGTTAGGTGGCCTTTGCAGTAGAGGGTCATAAAATAAATAAATGTACAGAGCTAAAATCCTAGCGGCACGGGGTATCGCCGCACGCTTCACGAGGCATGATGGGTTGCCTACCCACTGGGCTGATTCCTGTTCCAGCCGAGCCCACCTAGCGTCAAAGACATCAATGATCGTCACAGACCCACTTTCCGGAACACAATAGATTTTTTCAACCTGGATACGGTGCGACGTCATAGTAAAATGACAGCACTGTTAAAAATCCAGAAAACATCCTTAATAAATTAAACAAATGCTTAAAAATTGTCACTTACGACATAGAGGAAAATTTGAAAAATAAATTACAAATATGTGAACGTAGGAGCCCTTAGGCTCAGCCTGAAGCGGTAGCTTTTCCTAGTTATTGCAAACCTTCTGTAAAATTGCACCGACTGCGCAGGTAGTTGGTGATGGCGACCGCCGACCCCGCCCCCGCTGTGGGCATCGACCTGGGCACCACGTACAGTGTGGTGGGCGTGTACCGCAAGCGCAAGGTGGAGATCATCCAGAACGACGCCGGCAAGAGGACCACCCCCAGCTACGTGGCCTTCACCGACACCGAGGAGTACGTCGGCGAGGCGGCCAAGGAGCTGGCCAACAAGAACACCCTGTTCGGTAAGTCGGCTGGCTCTGGAAAACCCGACAGGAATAGAAGTATCAAAGAGGAAATCACTGTGAATTTCGGTGTACAAATCCAATGAGTTTCAGTCGAATTTCGATGCATTTCAGTCGAATTACGATGAACTTTAATGAATTTCAGTCAAATTACGATGAATTTTAATGAATTTTACATGTTTGATGAATTTTGGTGCACAAATTTGGCTAGAGTTATCCCCCCCCCTCTTGGGAAGTATTGTGGTGTCAAAGATGGTACAGACTGAGGGGTGACCCACTTCATATTTTTGTGTAAAATGATAGTGTGAATGTGCAAGATTTCTGGCGTTTTTGCCAGACATGTTGCCTTCTTACAGGCGTTTTTGCCACCTGAATGTGGAATGTGGTCGAATTTTGTGCAACGAATGTGGGAAGCTGTTCCCCCCTCCGTACAAACTATTTGCCGTAACTCACACACTAAAATTCTGGTGGTCCTTTGAAAAAAAAAGTTACCAAGATTTAGTGTGCAGCCATGATGGCGTTTTTGTGAAATGGGCTCTGATTGGAAGCGGGGTTCTTGGTCACGGATCTCTGTACACCGGAAATAATGGATGAGCCGAACCGTTTTTGTCTGGAAAGTGCGTCTTTTTTTTAAACTGTGGGCAGCCTAAGAAACGTGCGGCACATTTCGAAAACGAGGGAACCGTGGGCTCGGGCTGCTTCGGTTCCGTTTTTCCCTACGTTTATGTGCGACAGAAAATTTCTTTTCCGCATCTATGCTTACGCTCCCCGCCTCAACGCGCCTCATTCTTTCCGAAAGTATTTTCCGTGACCTCCCTCCCCATCTTCTCATCGAACAATGAACCAGCTGAAACTAGCATTTCAATCTGCTCAGATCAGTGTATGTTATTCTTAATAACGTTCAAGTGATACGAAAAGTCTCGTGTTCTTTTAATATACTGCAGTCTCTTCTCTTACATACTCAGTGCGTAAATAGCACTATCAAAATTTAGAGCCGTCATGTTTAGAAAACATTTAGCGTGCGTCTATCTTCCTCGCGGAAGAAGTGTTTCCTTTGACTTTAACCAAGGCAAGGCAGGCATATGTCAGAGCACTTTCCAGAAAACGAACCGTGTCCGCTTACAATTTTATTAATTAGTGCCTGCTTGTGGGTGTGAACGCACTTTACACATATTCTTCCTCGTATTGAGGTTTTGTATTTGGCTTATGAAAGATTTTGTGCAGCAATAGCGTCAAGAAGATTTTATTACTTACTACAAACAATTTTGTCTATTTTATACGAGGTGCAAACAACTTCGTCAAAATTTGTACACCGTTATTTCAAATTCACGTTATTTCATTGTTTTTTCAAGGGTATTTCGCGTTATGTCACGTTATTTCGCGTTACTTCTCCGTTATTACAACGTTATTTCAAGGAAAATCATCAAAATTATAGTTGCTTGCCCTCGATTTTATTGAATAAAAATTTGCCTTTTGTCCGGCACAGATTCGAAGCGCCTGCTCGGCCGGCGGTTCGATGACCCCGAGGTCCAGAAGGACTTGGAAGGCTGGCCGTTCACGGTGGTCAACGACGGCGGCACTCCCAAGTACGAGATTGTGAAGGACGGCCTGCCGCAGATGGTGACGGCCGAAGAGGTAAGTGAAGCACACTGAAAACCTACACTCTAAATGTCTCACGGTCCAAGGCTGCACCACCATATTATGGTGAATATTTTTTACGTTAAATGCAAACGAAATTCGTTAAGTCATGTTGTAAAGTCAGCTGCACCATCATATTCTTCACTAGGCGACTTTTGGACACAAGAAAATCACTGTGAATTTCGGTGTACAAATCCAACGAATTTCAGTCGAAATTCGATGAATTTCAGTCAGATTTCGATGAATTTCAATCGAATTTCGATAAATTTTTATGAATTTCAGTGAATTCTACAAGTTTGATGAATTTCGGTGTACAAATTTGGCTGGAGTCATTTCCCCTTACTTTTGGAGTGTTTGTGAGTACACTTTACACTGTTAAATGCTCTACATTGAGCATTGTGTCACGTTCGTTTCAACGTGAATAAGCTAATTTATGGCTCATTCACGTTCAAACTAACGTGACACAATGCTCAAAGGAATGTGACTTTTGTCACATTCATTTCAACGTGATGTCACGTTCCTGAGACGAGATCTAATATGTGTCACCAGGCGGGAACAAAATTGTATCATCGTTGGATGTGCTTAAAATTACATAACTCGTGGGACAAAAGATTTTTCATGACATTTAGTGTGTTTGTTTAGTCTTCTGAGGACTTATTAGAGGCAGCGAAGGTACGATACTGAAGGAAGAACGTGAAAAAACCTGCTTGCTTGTGTCCCTCTTTGTTCAAATTTTCGCGGAGTTAAGGTTCACACTAAAAAGATTTCTAATCAATTCCGTACAGTTCACACTAAATGTCGTGGGCTATTTTTTGTCCCACGAGTTCAGCAATTTTAGGCACACCCGATGGGGACGGGGGTACAATTTTGCTCCCAGTTGGCGACCCATTTTGTTCAACGCCTAGAGCACATTGTACTTTCGTTCGACAATTTGCCCCGCCTGCCGTACGCTGAATTGTACACTATCGGATATGTTTTAAATTACATCATCCGTGGCACTAAAGAAGTCCCATGTTTGTGTGTTGATTTCCTCTTTTATTGACCATATCCCTGCGCTTTACAGGTGTCGGCCAAAGTTTTGGAGGGCATGAAAGTGACGGCGGAAGACAGCCTGGAAACCACCATCACGAAAGCGGTTGTCACAGTTCCGGCCTACTTCAACGACTCGCAGAAACAAGCCACCATTGCTGCAGGTACCTTTACACACTAAATGTCATCGGACTGTTATTTGATGCAATTTCAAGCACATTCGGCGGTGATACAATTTTGTGTCCGCCGGGCGGGACAAATGTCATGGGACTTTTTTTGTCCGACGATTTACGATTTATGCAATTTTAAGCACATCCAACGTTGATACAATTTTGTTCCCGTCTGGCGACACATTTTGTCCGACGCCTGCTGCAAATTTTACTTTTACGAGACAATTTGCCCCGCCTGGCGTACACAAAATTGGATATTCTGAGATTTGCATTTTTCATGGGACAAAATAAGTCCCGTGACATTTAGTGTGAACACATTAAAATACGGTAGTTCTTTAAAGTTTAGTGCGTGGGCATGGATGTTTGCACTATAGCGCCTGCGAAGTGCGTGATAGGCCAGCCCGCGAGACACGTTTGTTGGGCGCGTTGCCTACCCTCGTCTTCGCAGGCGCTTGAGTGCGTTCCTTCCTCACCGCTCTGGCAGAACGGAACCGTTCTTCGACGCCTTTCCTCAAGCGTGTTGGTTTTTACGCTCGACTTCAAGCGTAGTTCTTCTTTTCGCTCATCACCGTGAAACCAAACGTGGACACACTCTAAATATTGTACAGTGAAGATTACCCATATTATGGTGAAAATGTCCATATTATGGTGGTGTAGCTGACTTCGTAACATTCTATTGAGAATTCACTGTATCATTGCGACGCGAATGGAAAAAACACAATCCAAATTCCACTGAGCCGTTCGCCCGCGCCCCTGCTGCCCTGCAGCTGTTTAGTAGATATTTTGACGTATTTCGTTGGTATTATGGATTAAATCTCCACCACAATATGTTGGTGCAGCCTTTCAACGTAAGACATTTACAGTGCAACTCCACACTTCCTGGTGTGGACTGAGTCTCCACACTTGGAAGTGCAGAGTTTGCAGTGTCCACACTTCAAGTGTGGAGTAGCCCACGGAGCCCCCGTCTCTTCGCATGGTGTTCTCGTGGACGAGTTTGAAGTGTGGCGACTGCAAACTCTGCACTTCCATGTGTGGAGACTGAAAATTCCACTCCTCCGCATTTCAAATGTGGAGTTCTCCACGTTTGGTCTCACAGTGCTCGCGCCTATCTAAATGCAAAGGACAGTTTCTTCTCTACCTTGAGAAGTTAAATGCTTGAATGAAGCATTCAACTACGCGTCAATTTTGCTTTCCTTATGATGATTATCTTACCCTTTTCTTTGTTTGCGTGTTTGTTACAGGCCAGCTGGCTGGGCTAGATGTGATAGCCATCTTGCCTGAGCCTACAGCAGCTGCCATGGCTTTCGGATTTGGCAAAGGAAAGAACTCAACAGTATTGATATTTGACCTTGGTGGCGGAACTTTTGATGTTAGTGTTCTCATTATACGGGGTGATAATTTCCAAATCTTGGCTCACGGAGGAGATACCCACTTAGGAGGGCAAGATTTTGACTCCATCCTGCTGGACTTCGTCATTGAAGTAAGTTACTCTTTAATAATGACACAATGAGCCTCATCTGGCTATCCCATTGCTTCTCAGTGGGTGATTTATTTCTTTTCAAGTTACAATAGGTCAGACAATGCAAATAATGATATGTAATTTGGTGTTCTGTATTTTTCGGAAACATTTCTGCGCATTGTTCTCAGCTTTTCCGAACAGTCGTTTCAACTGATAGTCGTGAGGTATAGACTATACCAGGTATAGTGTTTTTTGGATTGAAGGAGGCCTGCCTGCTGCTTTTGGAGCACTGACTCAGGACCTCTTGTGTTACATGCATCGAATTGTATCGACTTACTTGCATGATTTTCACCTCACGTTCCTGATAGTCAAACAGGATAGAAATTCTATGAACCCCAAAGTGTTTTATTGTTTCAAACTGATTTTATTATTTGTCTGTTGTGTGTCAGGACATTAAGCAGTCACTTGGGGTCACCATTAGATCAGAGGAGGAGCCAGAGACACTGCACGAGCTTCGTGGAGCCTGTGAATTGGTGAAGCGCAAGCTGTCCACCATCCCCCAAGCCTCCATCAACGTGTTCCTGAACCGCCACGGCAAGGGCTACAAGAAGGACATCACTCGCGCTCTCTTCGAGGACCTGTGCACGCCGTACTTCAAGAGGGCTGTGGACATCTTGCCCACCGTGCTGACAGAAGCCAAGGTGAGCACTGAGGATGAAATGGAAAGTCTGAGAGTTGTCTCCAAAGGGCAATACAAATTGAGGAAGTGACATCTCTATGAGAAAATTTGTGTGTATCAAACATCTTCTTATCGGCCAAAACGCAAGTTGTCTGAATCATGAAATCTGAAATCATTGATCAGAAACAGTTGTTGATAGTTAGTGGACACATGCGCTCATAAGGGTTGTTAACACTCTTTAACTCCTTTGCAAAATTTGCCTTTCAATCCATGAATAGTTTTTTCAGTCTTTAAAACAATCGTTTTGTATATGTATTTCCTAACATTCTATTTGCATCTGTGGACCTGAATAAGTTTCAATGCAGCTGTGGCTACAGACAAAATGCCAGTGGCCTGCCCGTTACTCTTCCATGCCGGAAGGGTTGCCTACCCCGTCGCGGGCAGGCGCTAGAGGCCCCCATCTCCCGAAGGGATACAGGCCTCTAGCAGGCGTTAGGCTTCACAAATGGGACTCTTTCGATAAATTTTATGCAGTGTCAAGCGCCCTTACTTCCTGGAAGGAGAGAATTTCCTTTGTCGCCTCCTATATTTTCCATATGTTCAAAGAGAAACCTCCATGTGAGTTGCTAGTTTCTTGACTGACTCACTGTGGTCATTTATATGTTTATCTGAGCTACATATCCTACTTCCTTAATTCATTCATTCCAGAATCAAGGAGTTAATAATTTAATTTTTTGAAAGGTATGATCAGCCCGTTAACACCTGTATCTGTATGTTGCTGAGAGATTGACGGCTGAGAGTGTTCTCTGTGTTCTTGTTCCTCTCTTGGGGTTGAACAAATTTTGGTTTAGGAAGTCCTTTCCCATTATGTTAATTTTGTGTAATGGGAGAAGTAATGTTTCAAAGTTTGTGAGTTTTGATTTCAAATCTTTTCTCTGTTTGCTTTACAGGTCAGCAAGGAGGATATTGATGATGTTGTGTTGGTTGGAGGTTCCACTCGAATCCCCAAGGTGCGCAATATGGTACAGGAGTTCTTCAACGGCAAAGAGTTGAACAAATCTGTGAATCCGGATGAGGCAGTCGCTCAAGGTGCAGCCATCCATGCAGCAGCTCTCACAGGCCAGAGTGGAGCGAAGCAGGTTCGTCTCAATCGCTTGATGGATGTTTGTCTTTAAGCCTTTTACCATGAACACTACCTTCTTTCTAACATATGCAAGTATCCCTGTTTTTTTGTTTTCTGAGCGTAATGCCAATCTATTTGCACAGGTCGTGATGCAAGATGTGACCTCCCTGTCTCTGGGCATAGCATTGGCAGACGGGCTGGTGGCTGTTCTTATTCCACGGAACACGCCACTGCCTTTCCAGATCACAAAGGGTTTCACCTCAGCCAGTGACAACCAGGAGGAGGCTGAATTCAAAGTGAGTTGTGGTTTCCTTCTTGCCCCTTTCTGCACCATTAATTTTTTTCTCTTTAAAATTGACTGAACATTGGAAAAATTTTGATCTGTATGGATACAGATCAAAATTTCATGAAGCGCACCAAAATATTACAGGTTCCACTGTTTCTTGAGAGACAAATTTAGAGCTGCTGTATTGCATACCAGCATCAATGTTTTTTCCTCTGGATAAACAAAGTCATCTCTATTGGATATGCTTGCACCTATTCAATAAAGAATAAGAGACTTGCTACATATTGTCGACACTAGTTCAAACTATTTCCTCAAAATTATTTTCTCGGACGCTCCTTTTGCTTCTCAGGGAGCCATTGTTGACCAAACAATTTGAATCATCTACGTAATTTATTGCATGTGTTCCCTCTAGCTTAGTTCATGCAGTGGTTGCTTGTCTTGTGGGTTTCTTACTTCTTTCTGGAAATTAGTGGGATGATTGCTAACAAATTTATTTTGAACAGGACTCTTCACCCTGTTCATACACACAATCCAAACAGCTTTTTTTCCCTTTTTTAAAAAAAAAATTAAATCAAAGGATAGAGGTGGGTTTAGAAAATGGGGAGGGAATATTGTGGAAGTTGCGCATTGATAGAGGCAATAAGAAGACTGCGATTTGTTTCTTACTTTTCTTGGAGGTGTGCCCCTTCCCCATTGGATGCGCGCCTGTTTAAAACTTCCCAGCGCAGGGTGTGCTGATGCTCTCTGACTGACTTGCGTTTGTGTTGCCAGGTGTGCCAAGGGGAGCGAGCCAGGTGGGAGGACAACCACGTGCTGGGCGACTTCACGCTGAGCATCCCTTCGCTGCCCCAGGGCGACGTGGACATCGCCACCACCTTCTCGCTGGACGCTGGCGGCGTGCTCACCGTGACGGCGCGGGAGAGGTCCACCAACGAGGAGGCCAGCGTGACGCTGCACAGCGAGGCGCGGCTCAGCGACCGCGAGCTGCAGGAGATGCTGCGGAAGGCCCAGCAGCACCGCGCCCAGGACGAGGAGCTGCGCGACAGGGCGAGGCGCGAACGCTACCGAGTGTAGGCTGTGGCCTTGGAGACGCCTAGGCACCTTGATTCCGAGCAAGACACTCGTTGCTCTCTCCCTCCGTGCCCTCTATGCCTCTCTCTATTTCCCTCTCCCCCTCTCCTCCACCCCCTGTCCCTCCCTTTCTCACCTTCCCCTACCCCCGGTCCGTCTCGTCTAAGGGAGGCCACCCAATAAGTGTGAGGGAACAGAGGGGCCCACCCTGTTTGGAATCAAACTTCCAGTGGGTGTGCATTGTGCAAAGTGAATACTGGTCCATCAAAGTCTTTCCAATGAGTATGCTGTTGAATTTTGCTCATTATGATCCTCATCTTTTGGACTGTATTGTTCTCATTCAAATCGTTACCAAGTGGACTGCTAGAGGTGTCCCTCTTTTTTCAATACTTTTCCTCTGTGGGTAAAAGCGTTTTTGTACCTTTCTTTTTAACTGCATATCATAGTTTTCTTTGTAATCAGAGAGAAATTAAAATAAATCACCCTGTTATTTGGTTGTTGTAATGTGAGAATTTTGTGCATGTCTCCCCTGCCAATGTGTCGTTTTTATGAGGGATATGGTGCACCAATAAATATTTTCTTCCTGTTTTTTTTTATTTTTATTTTTTTAAATTTGAGAAACCAAGCGGTAGTTCCTATTTAATGGAAACAGTTATACAACTTTTTCATTCTTGAAAATTCAGGAGTAGTAAATCTTACATCTACTTACACAAGCTCTAAGGTGCACTTTAATCCTTAAAATACTTTTTCCTGTATTGGCAACGGACAAGCGTCTATGGCATTAAAACAACTTGAAGAAATCAAATCCAGATCAATAACAATTCTTGACATGCTTATTTCTGCAAAGAATATGTGAGTTCTTTAACATAAAAATTAAAACTAACAAATTAAAGAAAGAAAAATTGACTGAGTGAACAATTCTTCAAACCCTTACTTAAAAAAGAATAAGTGAATTCTTCACATAAAATTGAAACTATAATAATCTAGGTACAGCAACTTATACTTAGGAACATTCAGCAGCACAGTAGCTGGACAGTTTAAATGTTCAGCTTGCAAATTATGAGTGTTGATAATCTTGCTGAAATATAAAATATTAAAACATTGTCTGCATTCATAAGATGCCATACGGATCTTCTAAAATTAAGTTAGCTCTAACATTTGATACCAAATTGTATGAATTCTTAACACACACTAACAGAAGTATAGAAACCATAAAAACCATACTATGGCTAGGATTCAAATAAGATTGTCTAACTGCAATAACTTGCTAACAACTTCATTATGCGTTACTTGACTTGCTACAAGCACTGATTCAAGTGCTTTGCATTTATTTACAGAGTTATTTAAGTTTGGCACATATACTTGGAAAATATCTATCAAATCTTCAAGTCTATACCCAGCAGCATCAGGGCAAAGCTCCCTGAATAACGGCAGCGTATCCACAAAGCCGAGACATATTTGTCTGAAGTTGTCCAAGAGCCCCACAGCATTGACTGCTTTCAGCAAATGGTAACTATGAAAATTATGGGCACCATGCCCAACAAGAATAACTTGACCATTCAATCTACTTAAAAAGTTAAGGAAATCAGCAACAGCATCATAAAATGGTTTGGGCACCTTTTGCATGCCATCCACAAATAGCTGCCCATCTTGGCACACAAATTTATTCACTGCATATGCACCTGGGTCAATGGGGCGATTTGGAAGCACATAAGCATTAAATACTGACTTCTTAAACTTTGCTGCCAGCTGCAGAATAGCAGCACTATTTGAGAGTCCTGTAGTATTGATGTTGAACAGCACATTTATTGGTGCTTCATAAAACTCGTACATGGTGCCTGATGGTGATGGTTCCTGAAACAAATAGGCTAGCTTAGAAACTTCTTCAAAAAAAGGAAAAACAAAGATGCGTTAAAAATGGATGAGAAAACTTTCATCCGGATCACTGAAGACCTGCACATTCTAGTGACAACATTTCCAATCAGATTGAACAAATTAAGGAATTGGATTGGTCATCTATTAAGTTAAGCTTACAAAAACATAATGAACTATTGAAGCACTGCAATGCTTGCCATCTGAGCTCATGTGTCGTAGTGAATGAGAATAGTGAATAGTATTTTAATTATTAGGTAAGTCAAAAGCTGACATAACTGTTGTTCTTTTTTTCAATTTTCTACGGACAGGGGGCAACTTAAGCCTCTTCAAATTACTTTTCCTTGATTGCAGGTTTTTTTTAATAGAAAGAATTCCTTGAGCACCGTACTGCTCTGAAGAGGAGGGGAAGGGGGGAGGGGGCGGGAGGAGGCACTTGGGCATTCCCTCTGAGGTTTCAACGACTATGGTACGGTCCTGAGCTCCGTGAACGACTAGACGGAGCGAACCTTACGAAGCACTCCACCCACCCTCCATCCCCTACCGCTAGTTAATTGATTACGGAAAGGCAACCACAAGAAAAATCATCTTGAACTTGACACCCGGCCACCTAACCTAATCATGGCGAACAGCCCTTTGCAGTCTCCAACCCCGAAAGAATTGACCCAAGTTCCTTTTCGACTGATTTATGCGCAGATCTTCAATCAAGTGGCGGAAGGCTGGAGAAATAACCACTAACCACTAAGATAAAAGAAGGTCTAGCCGCAGCAAACTTGCCCGTCGACAAACACAAAAGCTTCCAGCTTACAGCCTGTAAAGCGTAAACAAAGCGGACTGCCAGAGGGGGGAGGTGGGGATGCAAGGGGAGGGCGTTCTCTTGTTTTTTGTTGCTAGGTTACGGACCAAGCCGAGGAGGATAGCAGAAACGTCAGGAAAGCGTCAGGGACTCAGTTGTTTGGTTGTTTTGATGTTTTTATGCAGTAAGTTTGCATCAGATCAGCATGAAGTTTTGTGCGCTTTTAGCGTGCAAGAATAGAGATGTCAAAAACAAGAAGACTTCGGGGATTAAACATCACGTGTAAGTTTGTTGATGGGCATCCTAACCTCTACTCCTTTCCACCTTTTCTTGAGATGTGATGTTATTATTTCTCACAGGTTCCCTTCTGAGGATGCTATTAGAGGACAGTGGATATCATTCGTGAATAAGTTTAACCGCACCTTGGACTGGACTACAAAAGCTAACAAGGGTGCATACCTTTCTGAGGACCACTTCGAGAAGGACTTGTACTCTCAAAGTGGATGCCTTGTCCACCATGCTGTTCCTACTAAGGATCCCAGTGAGTCTTTTTCACTAACTGCCTTATTTTACCTTGTTATATCAATTATATCAAACTGATAGTGTGTCTTTTAATTGTAGATTTACTGCAGAAAAGGCCTTTGCGGTAAAACTGATACCATCTCTGCACCACGCTCACTTACTAAACAGACTGAACAATTTTGACAAAGTTTGGCCACCTCAAGGTGATGAGGAAATTGATCTTGACGTCCATCCTCAAAATGAAATGTCAAATGCTGAACATGTTGAAGATAAAATCATAATTGACATGCCCATGTCACCACAGGAAGACTTGGAGCGAACGCTCAGTGCACATTCTCTGTCTGATCCATCGGTTGAAGTTCTGCGTGTTGATCAGATAAAAGAAAATATTCCACCTCAACCGCCCATGGAATGTGAATCTCACTTTGATAGGTACAGTTATTATTTTCATTATTTACCTCAGTAGAATGTAACCTGTGCATATAAATTGTAGCTGCCAAAATATAACCAAACTAATGTCGAAAAATGTGTTTATGCAGTGATGAGAACCAGCCTATATTAAGGCAGGGCAGCTCATTCGACAGCTTGGAAATGAACACAAGGTGATGTGTTCCTCTGAACTTACATCTCAGAAGATATGTAGTTTGCAACTTTACTTATAATTCAGATTGTTTCATTTTCTTTCTCACAGTCCTCCCAGATTGTTTTCAAGCCCTATCACCAACAGGAAAAGAAAGCAGTATGTTGGAGACCTTGATGTTAATGATTTTGCCACGCCGGAAAAAGCAGAGAAATCGTTAAGTTTGCTTAAGTGCCACATTTTTGGATTGAGACGCCATTTGAGAGTCTGGAGGCAAAAATGTCGCAGATACAAAGTAAAGATCAAGAACTTGGAAGCACTGCTGCAACATTACAACATACAACATCCTTGAGAAAGAGGAAGGGGTGAGGGCAAGTATTACATCCATTTTACAATTACATTATAAATGTAATCAAGCAATATGTTCAATGGCAAAATCACTCTTAGTAATACTAAACTTAAGTTCATGCTTAGGAGGCAAGTCTAAATCACACCGGCAAAATGCCTGTCTGTTCAGGAATTCAATGCAAGAATAAATCAGAAGATGGATTTGCTCTTTTCTTAACAAACAAGACTAGACGCTTGGTCTTGGCGAAGATCCTCGGCTTGCCAGAATCTACACTGCTGAAGTCCTTGCCGAGGCAGGGCAGTTCATTGGACAGCTTGTCAAAGAATACCAGGTACTGTATTGTGATCCTATTTTCAGCTTCATGCAATGTTTAATAAGTACAATCCAAACCAGTTTTTAATTCCTATTTTATTTTTAGCTGGTCCCAGTGTTTTCACCACCCAAGACCGCAGCAGAGCAAAAAGTACAGTGACTTTAAAGTAACATATTGTAACCCCACTAATAAAGCTCAGAAATCATTGGACTTTGTAAAGAACAAGTTGTCATTTTTACACGCCAACTGACAAATTTGAAGAAAAGAGAAAAGCTATTCCAACTGAACATCAAAAACTTAGAGACAATGTTAGAAGATTTTAAAAAGCAATAACTTTATTTACCTGAGGTCATGATAAGGTTCTATGCATCAAGGTAAATTTAAGATGGTGGGGCAGTTCAAGACCAATTTGTTCTGTAAGTTTAAAATGTTAACTTTCACTTAAATTTTACCAGTTTTGGTCAAAAACTCAACTTTCGTAGGATTATTAATTATTAATGTAAAACTTGGGCTGTAAAGCACATCATTCAGTGAAACACTGAAGGCCAGACTGATGTATATTTGCCATGAAATTCCAAAGTTAGCTTTCTTTCACAGAATTTCACCTTGTTTGAGGTCTGATCTGATTCTGAGATGTCACATCAGATTTCTGCCGAAGTTGACATGGAACTGCTCTTTTATGGATTCCTCTCCGAACGAAGAATCCATTGGTGCGGTCACACGTTCGGCTCGAGTCCTCTTGAACGACTCTAGAGCTCGAAACGTGTCGAGTTTTGTCCGCCTGCACCAGGCTGGCAGGGGCAAGGTAGGCCACCAACCCTGCACCTCTGCGTGGCGTGGCGGGTTGGTGGCCTACCCGGCAGGCGGTACACCGTACACCCTACACAGACGACTGGTTTCTGGCTGCGGCGTACCCAGGCTTTGCGATTAGGGAACGGTGCAAGCCGAGTGCAAGCTCAAGGCGACGTCATTACGGATCGATCCTGCAAAAGGGATGTGTGTAAGAGGGTCTCTTTTGGAGCTGGGGTTCAAATCTCGGCTGGGAATAATGCTTACATTTTCCGCCGCACCACTGCTTTTCGCAACCGCAGCAGCGTGTCAGATGGTGGTGGCCCACCTTCTGGCTGACTACATTGGAAGGGGCTCTACTGACCCGCCCTCAAAGACTCGTCTTTTCCACCGCGAGATGCAAAAGTTTTCTCACCCTTTGGCCTGCCCAAACTTACACTGTTACCAAATTATGCGGCCAACTGATGAAAATAGTTTCGTCGCTAGGACTCGAACCCAGGTCCTCTCTCGAGGCTGCCTCTTCGCCCTGCGCTACCTGGACTTACAGGTAATGTCGTCCAAGCTTAGACAGATGATACTGAAACTACCCGCTCTGCGCTTGAGAAGTTAACTGAGGAAAATGTAATGTCAGTTGGGGAGTCGAACCCAGGCCCCCTTTACAGGCTCGATCTATAACGCCTCGCATTGAGCTAGTTACCCAGAGAAGAAATTGTTAGTTTCCTTAGCCAGGATTTCCGTCTAAACTGTGATCGTCCTGCGGCCCCTCGGCGGAAAGGGAGACCACCCTTTTGGCACGCCGCAGGGAGACGAGCAAAACAAGTCATTTCACACACTCACAACACTCTGGTTCACTCTTCGCACTGGTCATTGCCACTCGCGGGCCCGCGACGACGCGTGCATGACGTGAGCGCATTCACTGAAACTCAAAACACTATGAATATAGCGTCAATTGGTGCAATGCTTTTGCATTGCACATGAAGTGCCATGCCTTCCCATTCCCATGCATTGGTATTGGGTCTTTTCGCGAAGCATTGCAGCTTTGCACGTGTGGTGCGATATCTCAGTGCATTGCACCATACGTGCTATACTCATAGCGTTTGGAATATCAGTGTTGCCGCGCTTGGGAGTCGAACTGTGGGCGGCCACTGTGCCACCGAGACACTGCGGTGAAATTCAACTGGTGGTACCGGATGCACTAGACTCGAGAAGTAAAGTAACACTGATGGTTTCGGAATTTTTATTTTCAATTAAATAATCTCATACATCCTATACCTCATCACGAAAACCCAACCATCGTCGTATAGAATGCGGCTTCCAATGAACTGCCACGCACATCTCCACTGAAAATCCAAACGCCGGCGTCAATTGATGCAATGCGTTTGAGAGGCCGTTTCCATCGCACCGATTGGTGCAATGCTTTGGCATCGCACGTGAGACCCTTGCATGAAGCATGGGGCATTTTCGGGGCGAATTGTATTTAACGTTCGTTGCACGTGCTTTGTTCACGGCTTGGCCCGTAAAAGCTCTCCGCGTGCTAGCTCATATTGGCTCAAAGCTCGTATAGTCAGCAAGTGGCTTGTCGATGGTGTTCGATGATGGTAGCTTGGGCACGTCGGGCCGGACTGCACCGGACGATGGTCCCGCACGCAAAAACCGAACGTGGTCTAGACCACACCAACGGATGCGGCTAAAATGACCCTCATCTGACCACACCAGTGATGCGGTCTAGACCACGTTTGGTTTTTTACTGCACTAGGGTCACTTGGGGTAATCATGGGACACGGGGTATAAATGGGACAGGTGACTCTTAGTCAAGAATCGAGATTTTAGAACTTGTGCCGTAAAATGCTATTTTCTCAATAAAACATCACATTTGGTATGTCATGCGTTCAAAAATGTCAAATCTTGGCTAAGAATCAGCTGTCGCCTTTTTACCCCGTGTCCCATAATTACCCCAACTGACCCAACTAAATGTACCTCCTGATAGGCTTGGCGCCTGATGGGTAGGCAACCCATCGTACGTCGGTGTCCGAAAGGAGCCGATTCTCCAGGCGTCCGTGCGGCAGCCCCTCAGCCCCTCCCAGGCAGAAGTCCCTGGCTCACGTGGAACTGTGGGACAAGCAAAAAGGGAGGGTATTGCAAGATTGTAAACGATTCTGACATACACTGCAAAATTCAAGTGTAGGGCAGTCTCACACTGTTAGACGTGAACCAAAATGTCTCACGCTGACAAGTGGAAGCACGTTTATCTTACGCGCTTGCAAATCACTGTGAATTTCCGTACAACTCGAATGAATTTCAGTTGAATTTTGATGAATTTCAGGCAAAAACTACTGAATTTAAAAAAAAAATTCAGTGAATTTTCAAAAAATTTGATGACTTTCGATGAAGTTTACATGTTTGCTGAATTTTGGTGTACAAATTTGGATAGAGTTATTACCCCCTGCTTGCAAACGCGGGACCCGTGGGATTGAAAGTTAGGACAGGGAACCATAGGCAGCAAATGTGGGACAAACGTGGTTCACGCTAGTAAGCGTAAGACATTTTGGTTCACGCAAAATAGTATGAGGCTGTCCCAAACTTGGGATTTGGAGTGTGCGGTTTCAATGTTGCGTACTAACTTATTACGTTGTTTTGGGGGCATAACTTTTGCACGAAATTGAGCAAGTGCGAGAAACGCACGAATTTGTGAGCAAGAAAGCACATTTTCTTGCCTAGTAACGCACAAAATCGCGAATTTAAAAAATTTTGAGCAAAGCTTATGCACAAAAATCTACTTTATAGTGTACGCACACCTGAACTAGGCTTCGCTAGCTTTCCTCTTCGGCGTCCGCGGCCGAGAAGCGTTGCATGTCTGCGACGATGCGGGCGTTCATGCGGCCGCCGACCGCCGTCGACGCAATAAAGTCCATGTGGTTGAAGGCGTCGTCCTCGTCCACGTGGACGCTCACCACGTTCGGCAACTGGGATCGCAGGAAGTCCATGTCCTGCAGACAGAAAACGAAGACTTTGGATAAATAAAAAGACGATGAGAAAAGTAAGAAAGGAGGTTTGGCCACCAGTAAAACGAAGGCAACCCGACCAACAGTACACACTAATGTTTATGTAGAATTTCGACGTGATGCGAGATTTTAAACGTGCGTGACGTTTTGCATAAAATTGTGCAGAAATTCGCATGAATTTATGCATTTTTACGCATAATATTATGCGAATTCCCCGCATGCACAAAATCGTGCATGTGGCACGTACAAAAATCTACATAAACATTTAGTGTGTACACTCTTCAGGTTCCACAGTTCGTCTCGGCGTGGACTGACCCTTTCGCTGCAAAGGACGTCGTTCTTGCCGAGGTAGAGGTGGATGGGCGTTCGGATGGCGGACAGGTTGTACAGCGGGGGTTCCGGCATGCCGTAGAGTTCCTGGTTCCTCTCGGCGCCGTGGTCGTACTGCCGGATGCCCTGGGCTGCGCACAGTCATCCAGAAGACTGGTGGAGGCGGCCAACATTCTAGGCGCATTTTCAGCTCCAGAGTCGCTAAGTGGGAGTCGAACCGAACGTGCGACCCCAACAATGGGATGCTGTCCGAACGAGGATTCTAGTGGTGGATTCGAGTTCAAGTCCCACATTTAGTTACTCTAGAGCTCAAAACGTGCGAAACGCGCCGGTCCTCTGGCCGACTGAGCTGCGAGCCACACACACTAAACTGCTACATAGTTTGCGCAGAACTTTGCACGAAATCGAGCGTACGAGTGAGAAACACGAATTCATAGCGAAAACACACATGGTGCTGCGTAACTGCAGTGCTCATTTCCATGCGCACGATCCATTCGCGAACTTCAAACCGTAGGCTTGAGTCCGTGCAAAGGGCAAAGCTATGCTCTAAAAAGAAACTACCCAGTGAGTGTGTGGTCAACTTTATGAGCGGGAATACGAGTGGACGGGCACTCCGTCACGAGTCACTCACTGTCATGGTTGGCGTTTTGCTCGTAGTGGAAGATCTGGCCCCAGGAGCCGCCACTCGGGATCGTGTCGGCGAAATGTGGGAGCTCCTGAAAGAGAGTGGGTCACATAATTTCACGGAAACACTTAATTTTTGAGACGTCACAATTATTAGTGCAGATGAAATGTTTGTACAGATGATAAGTACGCGATTTAGAACAAAATTAGGGGAAAATATACGGTTCTTTGTATGAAAAGTGAAAGAAAAGTCCGTCAAAAACTGCAATGTCTCGTTTAAAATTATTCATGACTCCCTGACTTGTGTCGACGGAAGCCAGGAAGAGTGCGAGTTGGCTTGTCTGTCACCAGCTACACTGAAAAACCACATGCTGTATCATTTAGGCCGAATTGACACGCTGTCGTTTACATTGTCACCCATAGGCAATGAACAACGCGCGGAACAAGATTCTATAGAATTGCATCTCATTTGCGATGCGTCACCACCCCAATGTAACGATTTTGAGCGTAGATTCATGGAATTTCGTCAAGAAAGCTTAACAGATTTGTCAAGACAAACTTGATAATAGTACCGAGGGGGTAAACACTTCAAGAAATCGTGTACAGACTACTCGGTATAACGCTGTATTACGGGGGTATTACACGTGCATTACGGCCTTAAAATGCCAAAATTTGGCACATCTGACCCAGAAATGATATTACGACCACGCGTATTACGCGTAATACACGGTTTTTGTGTACAGGGTACACTGAGAATCCAAACGCTATGAGTATAGCGTCAATTGGTGCAATGCAAAAGCATTGCACATGAAGTGCAATGCCTCCCATTTCCCATGCATTAGCATAGGGCCTTTCGGGGAAGCATTGCACCAAAGGTGCAATATGGCTGAGGCATTGCACGTATGGTGCGATATCGCAGCGCATTGCACCATACGTGCTATACTCATAGCGTTTGGCATCTCAGTGTATTACGCGAGTGGTTACCCCCTCGATAGTACTCAGTACGGGTCTGAGTGTGCTGTCTGACTCACGTAGTAGGTTTCGTGCTTCTTGAAGCCCACGATGGCGAAGGTGAAGGCGTACAGCAGGGGCCGCGCGACGGGCAGCAGCAGCTTGAGCAGGCGGCGCAGCGCGAGGTAGAGCGGGCGCATGGTGCGGCGCAGGCCGAGGTCCTCCACCAGGGGCTGCGTCGCGTTGTTCACCGCGTGCAGCAGCTTCACCACCGGGCTGCGGTGGCCGTGCAGCGAGCCGGCAGGCGCCATCAGGAAGGCGGCGCTCACCTTGCGAGTGCGAGTTGTAGGAAATCGAATGGAATCAAATCGAGGGGGCAACCACTTTCCATTTTTCAGGGAAGTGATTTCGTCGCATTTCGCGAGGTTTCGTCGGATTTTACGACCAAACTTGGCTTTATTTAAAGCCTGTTGTGGGAGCATTTACGATTTCCAGATTTTTGGGAGCTCAAGTGGCCACAGGACTTCGTGAATCGAATTACCGCAAACGCATACTAGCACCTTTTTCAGCCCGCGACCCCAAAATGGCTTCCAAAATTTTTCGCGACCCCAGGAACAAAATTACGCGACCCCACGCGATCCCATCTTTTTTCGGGAGGGGGGGGGATTTTTTCAAAAAATAGCTGTCACATTTTGAATTTTGACCGAATTTAGAGGTGCAGAGTTTGCAGCCTCCGCACTTGAAGTGTGGAGTAGTTCACAGAGCCCCTATCTCGTAGCATGGTGCAAACGTGGACAACTCGACTCCACGTTTGAAGTGTGCGGAGACACTGCAAACTCCGCACTTCCAAGTGTGGAGACTGAAAATTCCACACCTCCGCATTTCAAATGTGGAGTTGTCCACGATTGGTTTTACAGTAATCTCTTTACCTTGCGCTGGTACTCTGGCCGCATCGCCGCCATCACCATGAAGGACGTGGACCCCATGGAGTGCGACGCGTACATGACGGAAGGGAAGTGCGTCCGCGCCAGCACGTAGTCGATGGCGGCAGGGTTGTCGAGCACGCCGTGCTCGTGCCAGCTGCGCGCCCAATGGGAATAAGCCATCAGCCGGGGTGTCGAGGAAACTCAACACTATCCACTCTCCACACCAAAAACTTAAGTGTGTACTCTGTACACACAAATTTTTCGTGCACCGCTAAGTCCTCTTTAGGGGTCACTTTTATTGCAAAGGCGCCCTACACTTCAAGAACTAAAGCGTGCTGTTCTCAACCGTCGTAGTTGCTGCCCTCGAATCCAGGGGGCAACCACTTGTCAAATCCTGTGTCCACTTGAGCAACCGAAATCGCTGGAAATCGGACGGAAGTCTTCCCCAGAGAGGGCAATAAAACAAAAAGCAAATTTTAGGGGTAAAAACGGTAAGAAATTTTCCAAAATCCGACGATTTCTTAAGAAATCTTGTGTCCCCAAACTTCATCATTAAATTTCATCATTTCATCAAAAGTGGTTTCCCCCTAGGCTCGACTTCCAGTGAAGTTCTCCCGAGTTCTCCGCTCCACCCTCTCCACGAGAAAATTCATTCTCTACGCTTGAAAGTTGTAAGCTGAGCGTACAACAAGGCTTCAGTTTTACCAGTGTATCACCTGAACTTCCAGTACTCCTCGTCCGTCTTCGAGTACTTGATGTGCTCCTGCGAGTAGTGCGTGCCGCGGAAGTTGATCATCCACACATCGTAGCCCGCGTCGTGAAGTAGAGGGGCTGCAATGCATCAACATAAGAACATTTTGTAAGTGAGCATTTATAAATCCAAAGAAGGTGATACTTATGGTATCTTTTTTGAAGATACAATTACGTAGTATCACCAACATAATGGCCTTACTGAAAAATCTTGCTCTAAAAAAGGCGAAACACAAAGGTATCGCCAAAATTTGGCGATACTTTCGATTTGGCAATAAACTTTGAACAAATCAAGGGAACAAGTTTTTAGTTTATTGCTAGATTTAGGCGATATTCGAAAGTACCACAAATTTTTGACGATACTTCTGTGTGCGGCCGTTTTGAAGGCAAAATTTTTCGGTAAGCCCGTTTATTGGTGATACTCAATTGTATCGCCAAAAAAGGTGCTGAATTATCGCCTTTGGATTTGCAGTGCCAAAAGTATGCATTTTGTAGGTGTGTACTAGGAACATGCATTTGTAAATGTGTACCAATAAAACAGGTAGGCTTGAAGTGTTCCTATGAGCCGAAAATACGAGAGAAAGGGCAAAAACTTACCCAAGGCCTTGCCGCGTCCCAGCAGGACGAAGCAGGGCGCGGCAGTCTGCATGCCGTGCGCCACGAACACGGGCTGCTTTCCGGGGTTGGGCGCGCGCTCCAGGCGCAGACGGTACCCGTCCTTGGTGGTCACGAAGTGCGTCTCCATGGGGTAACCAAGGTCAACCATCAAGGTACTCTGAAAATAAAAGTGAAAGAAACATCGCTCAGGTGCACTGAAACTTTACTCCGACGGTTAGAGCTCTCATTTTTGGCAGTCGAAGGCCACTGCAGTAGTGGTGGCCAATGCACGACCTCGACCGCATTTGATTCGGAGTTAAGGGGGGACCCTGGTGAAAGTTTCAAGTAGGCTTCAAAATAATCCCAGAAAGTTGAAACTTTGCTTAATTATGAGGTTCATTATGGTGAGTTCCCAAAACAAAATTCAATCCAAAATGTTGAACGGTCTCTGAGAAAAGTGGCTTTTTAGTGTTTTTTGGAGCGTTGGGGAAAAATCTTCCTGCGTCTTTCATTGGGACGGAAAGTCTTGAAAATTTTTTTGGGTTATCCTAAAGATGTATAGAAGAGATTTTAGTGACGGAATTTTCAAATTCAACTTCTGTCCTGAGATATGAGTTTTCAAATTTCAACATTTAAAAAAAAGTGATTTTTTTCCCTTTTTTCAAACTTTAAGGTGTGTTTAAAAAAAAGTAGGGCTGATATCAAGATTCCGTCACTAAAATTTGTCGACAAGTCATCAATGAATAGAGTCCATGCAAGACGACTCATGTGGGTGCCAACCAGGAACGCAGGAAGTCTTTCTACGACAAAATTTTTTGTCGACTGAGCAAAGCTGTGAAGTTGAGCGTAGAAGCCAACAACAACTGATCTCAATGTTATTTCCTTCCAAATGATAAAGAAACTACCCACTTAGCTTAAAGGTGTTCAACCTGTTGAATTTGAAACCTTCTATGCACATTTTTATCTATGAACTTTGAAAATATTATTTTTTGGAATTTTGGCGATTTTTTCACCAGGGTCCCCCCTTAAAGCGTGTACTGAGTGCACACACGAAGGTGTGCATTAAGTGCACACATTCACACTAAATGTTTTGTACAATTTTGTACGAGACATCACAGTTTTTTGTGCACACGAAATTTTCGTTCAATGTTCGTACGAAAAACTGCACATTTTTTGCCGTTTTTGTACAAAATTGTACAAATTTTTGTACAAATTTGTACGAAAAGTTCGTGTGCACAAAAAACTGTGATGTCTCGTACAAAATTTGTACAAAAGCATTTAGTGGGTTCGTTTTCGGTGAGTGCGTAAGCAAACTGAAATTTGTACGAGCTTCTCAAACAAAGAAAGGCCTTCACTGCAGCCAAGTTGAAAATCATTCTTCGCAGCACCGAAACTTTACTGCTGATCCAAGTATACCAACTTACAGGCTTAGACCACAGTGTCTTGCAAGTGTTGACCAGTCACGTCCTAGGCTTGCAAGTCTCGAGCACCCTGTGTCCTACACTTCGAGGCATGTGAAACCAATGGTTATCGATCGTCGAATAAGCTGTGTCCCACGCTTCTAGGCGTAGATCACGACTGGTCGACACTTGCAAGTGTGGGAAATGATGGTATACGTCTGCAAGTGTGTACTTGCACACTTGGCATAGCAATGTTCTTTTGTTTCATTAACAAGTGCTCGTATCAGTGCAACGGCCCCCCTCGTTCTGAAGACTCCTCTCCTCACCGCCGTGACGCTGTCGTTGACCGGCGCCAGCCATCTGAGCAGCCTCTCCAGGACGACGACGGCGGTGCTGCCGGCGCTGGCGCTGGACGCCTTCTTGACGGGCGCGGTGACGGTGGCGGCCACGTCGGAGCCCACGTGCCGGAGGAGCCCGGACACCGCGCCGAGGGCGCTCGACGGCAAGGGCGTCGCCAGCGGGGCCTCGAGGGGCACGACCAGGAGCGCGGCCAGCAGCACCACGCTTCGGGGCGCCCGGCCGACGCCACACTGCGCACGCCGCAGGGGCACCATCAGGACGCTGGGGTGCTGGTTTTCCGGGAACATCAGAAACACATCGCTTAAGGTGAGGTGTGGGTGAAAATTTGCCCCAAAATTGAACAAAATGATAAATTGAATCCGCTTGTTATTTGAATGTAAAATATTCTTCTATTACCGACAGCATGTCCTAAAGGTCTGTGTTATGAACCCCTAAGTGAGTGGTTCATCTAACATGGACTGATGTATGCATGCGCCTTTTCTGGTCACTCAACTCTTACAACAAGTGTCGAAGAAATTTTTTTTCTACTCTGTCCACTAGCCACGCATACAGTTTTGTTTTATACTGACCATACTTCTTGGAGTAGTTCTTTGAGGTCCATGTGACAACGTGACAGAGAGATATTTCAAATACCTATCCACTTTCTTGAATCGTTTACCTTAAAATGGTAAAAAATGGAAAAAAAACTTATTTTTCCAATTAAAAAATTGTGAAGTTTGCTCAGTCAAAATTTAAAAAAAAATTCAAATATCTTTCTGTTACGTTGCAGTATAGGGGTTTAGGTAACTCCAAAACAAATTTCAGATCATTCCATCAAGAAACTTTGCGTGGCTGATTTTTTCTACTAAACGCTTAATTTCAATGAAAATAGCCTACTGTGGCTAAATGGGTGGGCAGGTTTGGATGAAATTTGGTGTGTAATAGTTTCCTACCAAGTACTTAAACGCCCTAAAGTTTCAACCACCACAGCCAAGTGGTATAGAAGTTTCCATTTTCACCCACACCTCACCTTAAGGGGGCAGTAGCGCCATGGACATCAATTTTTGGACAAATTTTGACGAAGTTCCTACTAATACAGAGTCCGTTCTTTTCATCGCGGGGAAAACACTTCGTATCAATGAAAAGAGGGATCTTCAAGGATCATTTTTAAAACAAAGTGGTTGACCTACTGTCAGTGGGGTGTCCGAAGGACACAAGACAACACAACATGTTCGACAAATAATGACAAAATATCACTGCGCGAAGAGCTACTCAGTCCCCGCTAGAAGTTTTCCATCCAAAACTTGTCCGCATGTTTTACATACTTGAGCAGTAAAACTGACCCTACCTACAGCAGTCACCTCTGGTTTGCTGTCCCGGTTTTGCCTCTGGTTAGTTGTCCCGGAGCCATCCCCACCACCTCGGCTCGGCCAGCGCGGCCCGACCCAGCCGGGACCGAGGGTCCCGCCGGCCGGCAAGGGATTACCGGCGGCTGAATCCGCTCGCTTGTGGCATATTCCAGTCGAAATAATAAAACTTTTTCTGTACAATTTTCAAACAATCTTTTAACAGAAACGCATATATGATTAAAAAATGGCAAGGGTGAAAAAAAATTGCACCTCAAAATTCTAATTTTTACCATGCCGGTCGGCATGTCCCACGGGACAGCTAACCAGAGTCCACTGGCCCTGGCCGTATGCATCACAGAGGTGGCCGTGGGGCCCCAAAAAATTTCCACGGGTTTGTGATGTGGCCAGGTACAAATTGTTAAAGTACGAGTGAAAAACAAAATCTAAAGCAGATCTGTAAACTCGTGATGCATACGGCCAGGGCCAGTGGACTCTGGTTAGCACCCTTGCTATTTTTTAATCATCTATGCGTTTCTGTTAAAAGGTTGTTTGAAAATTGCACAGAAAAAGTTTTATTATTTCGACTGGAATATGCCACAGGCGAGCGGATTCAGCCGCTGGTAATCCCTTGCCGGCCGGCCGGACCCTCGGGCCGGGCCGGGCCTACCTGGCCGGCCTCAGGTTAGCTGTCCCCGGCGCCTCCCGAGTGTAGGGACAGTTAACTAGAGTTAAAATATCGGGGAGTATTTTATAACTCAACTTTTATGAAACGTTGAAAAACATGTTAAAATTTGTCATCGTAAAGTTTTCTCAAAAAACGTCATTGCCTCAATCCCGAAACCCAAGGGTCATTTTGTGGGACATCAATACTACAAACACCCGACAAATGTTCAGGGTGATATCTCTACCTGTTCTCTCAAAATCCTACGCGCAAGCTCTAAAAATCTACAATTGAGAAAAACGGCCTAAAAGATTGTACTTGACTTACCTAACCTGAGTCAATAAATTTACATAAATGACTCTGGAGGCTTAACGGTAGCGAATTTCCGCAAAAGCTGGTCATATTCTTGAAGGCGGTTGTCAGAATATGAATCCTCAACAAAAAAAAAAATCGTTTTTTTTTCAAATAATGGCGCTACTGCCTGGGGCCGTAGAACTACGCTTTAGATTTACCAGTGCATATAGCTACACTTGAATACACACCCACCCTTTAGAATATCCCCGCACTCGTCTCGCTGAGTACTTGCCTCAAGCGTTGGTTCTCAGCGAAACTCCATGCAGCGTTGAGCGGTGCGGGTGGCCAGCCGTGTCGCGGGCGATGTTGCTGCCGACTGCCGTGCGCGCCGAAATACGCGCTCATACCCCCCGTCCCGGTAAGCCATTCGAGTCGCCGGCGGCGCGAGGCCCATGCCCAAAAAGGCTTCACGGGCGAAGTGAAATCTGCCCACCGCAAACGCAACTATACAAAGTGCATGCTTGGCAAACACACACTTTCCTAAATGTAAGAAGGTTCCTCAAAGGTAAAAGTTCACTGAAAAACCAAACGTGGTCCATACCGCACCAACTGGTCAAATGGGTGCCATTTTGACCGTATCAGTTGGTGTGGTCTCTAGACCACGTTTGGTGCGATTGTTGTGATCACTGCATGGAAAGACCTCACGAAACGTGGTCTAGGCCACAACAAACATGGCCAAACGTGGTCTAGACCACACCAACTGATGTGGTCAAAATGGCACCCATTTGACCACACCAGTGGTGCGGTCTAGACCACGTTTGGTTTTTCAGTGTAAACGTACTCCTTTTGAAACGGACCAGCGATGAAGTTCGATCTCGCTGATATCCATTGTTAATTTGGTAAAGAAAGTCGGAATAGCGATCGTCCACGGAACTAGAGAGAACTGTGTGGCATTCGATGCCTCGAGGGCACACAAACTTCGACCCGGGTTGACCTCTGTTAGTCTCGTGACGAAAATATTGTTTTCAGTCCGGAGCGCGGTCGGTAGGTATTTGGCTTGTTTGCCACGGCCGCGACAGCGCATGTATCGTTCCGCTCGGACCATTTTCCTCGCTCTGAGTGTGCGCGTTCCGTTGTTTTAACTCCTGCGGCAGCAATTCAGGTTTTCCTGTAGAGCGGAATCGCCGTACGCTTCAAGCTACAGCTACGTAAGCTACGGTGTCATTTCCCACAATGAATATAGGGGAAATTATTTTTCTTGAATTCGGTAAACGCTCTACGTTGTTTTACATTGTTCATTCCAAGATATGAAAAACAAGCCTCACAGCAATTTGAACTTGGGCAATTTTTTTAACTTTCTGAGTTTATGTAAGTCCTTGTCTCATTTCTGTTTTTGGTTTCAGTTTCTGCCCATTTCTTCCACGACGTTATGGGGAGACTCCTTTCACGGCTCATCGACGGAGCACATGAACTGATGACATTCTCAAGTTCTCAAATAATTCCTATATTTCAAGAAAATGAGGTTAATCTCCTTGCAAAGCATTGATCTGTTCTATTGGGGTCTAAATTTTAAACGGCGCTCTTTACTGGATTTTTGAGTAGTACGTGGAGAGATGTACTGACGACGGCTTACGGAGAACGTGAATCCATGCTCGATGCTTGCCCCTCGGTGCTGGGGTTACCCCGAGATCTTTATAACTAGGCCGTTGTTGTCAAAAACGCTTTGCACAGATGGAAAGAGCTTGGAATGTAAGGTGCATACCCAACGGCCCTTCTCGTTAGAGAATCTTTTGCACGATTTGTAAAGGCTTTGTACCAAAAGGGACGAAACATCAAAGAAATAGCGCGGCCGCACCATCGATCTTGATTTTTAAGGTTGCTTCACTTGTGTGGGGTTAAATTGAGGCGACTCGGGCAGGCCACTACTCATTCAGGAACGTGACATCACGTTGAAACAAACGTGACAAAATGTCACGTTCGTTTGAGCATTGTGTCACATTCGTTTGGGTGTGAATTGGCCAAAAATCAGCTTGTTCACATTCCAACGAACGTTACACAATGCTGAAACGAACGTGACATTTTGTCACGTTCGTTTGTCACGTTGGTTTCAACGTGATGTCACGTTCCTGGAATGAGGGTGTAGCTGAATGCACCCTCCATTTCATGATCTTTCGGTCTCTGCGGAGCGCTTTGCAAACACCGTTTGTACCCAGTTCAGGCATAATTTTTATGCCTTTGTTTTACAGTGCAAACAGACATGTTGCGAGATCTTTGAGAGCCACACATCAATCATAGAGGACTCGGAATTTGTGGACTTGGTTTTTAGCGGACAGTTCATCCTACCGGCCATTATATTTTAGTGGACACACTACAAATCCAAAGGTCAGCTCGCCATTCCAGAGGCAAGACATAAAAGTCTCGCCAAGATTTGGTCAGACCTGAAAGTCTCACCAAAATTTGGTCAGACAAAAAAGTCTCGCCACAAAACGGTCATACTCAAAAGTCTGACCCCAAAATGGCGAGACTTTTGTGTCTGACCACCACCGAAAGGCCGTAATGCGCCGGACGGTTACGGCCTAAAGGCCGTGGTCAGACACAAAAGTCTCGCCATTTTGGGGTCAGACTTTAATGTCTCGCCATATTTTGGCGTGAAGTCTTTCCATCCAAATTGCAGTGCATTTTCAGTGGATATTCCTTTGTGAATGAAACCTGTATGAAATGTCTCAAAAGTCTATTTTACCAAATCCCTGGGCTTTAAGTTAGAAAAACAAAAGTAAGAACTCAAACCGCCTCGCGGCGCCGCGCAGATGATATTCAGCGTCAGCGTGCGCAGAAGCGGTTTTCGATCGTTTGATCTTTGATCACCGGCCCGATTCGTTAAAATGGACTTCAGAGCCTCTCACTGTACCCCACCCTCCCCTTGTACATTAACAACAGACACACTTTGTAGAGGGTGAGATTTTCTGTCCAAGGAACGTGCTTTTAACGAAAGTGTTTATTTATGGCACCAAACGCCGAAACTGCTTTAAGTTACATTGTCCACTTGAGATAAAAGGTGCCGCAGCCACTTAACAGCAGAAAGAGGTGTTGCTGGCGTTTCTGAGGCACTTCATCGGCGTAGGCGTGCACGCTAAATTTTTATGTAATAATTTTGTACGTGGTGCTGCATGATTTTAAACTGGTATACCGTTTTGCGTAAAATTGTGCCCACATTTTGCACAAATTTAAGCATTTTTACACATGGAAATGTCACGCATGCACAAAATCTTGCAAGTTTATCCACGTATAAAATTCTTTATGAAAATGTAGTGTGTGCAAGTTCCACAGATGTTCGGGAGCGCCGTTGAGGATTTTCGGTCGTTGAGCTTCTCACTGACAACCCGGGCAGGCACATCGCCAGGACAGATCGTCGTATCCAGCGGCAGCAACGGGTTCAGCACAGAGGTCGATCACCTGGCGCCTGCTGAGCACTCCGTACAACTGGGCCAATTCTGGGCACGCGCACTTGTAAGTGGGTTCCTCCATAAACTGAACATCCCAGAATGTGCCGCAGGTTTCGACCACCGCTTCTTCGCGCCACAGCCTGTCGTTGTTGCAGTAAGGACGGGCCTCAGACTGAAAGCAGATGTGAGAAGACCGTTGTTAGCTTTAACGCAAGACGTCGAAAAAAATTTGCCAGTTGTCACTTTACTGTACTTACCCGCTGTTCTACCGGACTCGCCGAGACAGCAGCCACCTGCAAATGAAATCGTAATAATTTAGAGCAGGACAAGGCTTAGCCTTAGGCAAGGACCAATACTCTTTACACCGTAAGAGAAGACAACCATCGCGTATTCCGTGGAGAAGTTAAAATGGCAAACACTGCAAGGTCGCTCCAAGTGGGGGGTAAAGGGGTCCGACTCAATTTTGTGCGAAAATTTGTAGGAGCAGATGATTAACTTTTCGTTCAGTTTTCGTACGAAAACCTGCACTATTTCCCCTGTACGAAATCGTTACAAATTTTAGCGAAAGTTCATGTCTGCACAAACAAACTGTGACGTCGCGTTCAAAATTTGTATAAAAACATTTAGTGAGTTATGCCAAATGGTTGAGGGGAGAAAAGAACCCACGTATCGTTTTTGAGTAGACATTGTTCACGTTCTGTCACAGGCATGACATGACATGTGGGAAGAGGGGAAAGTTCAAGGGGATTGACACGACCTGAACCTCATGTCGTCAGAACTTGATGAAAGTTGGCTCAAATGTTACCCCCATAGGGGTAAGTAAGCCCACAAAATTTGAACCCTCTAGCTCAACTAACATGGGCGCAGTGAACCCGCTCACCCTCCCTTACTTACGACGAAGGCGGCAACGGCCAAGACCAATACGGAGTACTTGGTAGCCATGACTGAAGGTGGGGTGATGTAGCTGTGGCACAACAGCTGCTGACTGGTGCCCAGACCTGTCCTGGCTGCCTTTTAAGGTGGATCTTTAGGTGGATCTCTCGTGTTCGTTATCTCGTTGTTGCTCGAAAGTCCCAAAACGTCACGTTGGGGAGGCGTCGGAGGCACGCCCTCCTCCCCTCCGCTCCTCACCGCAGTGGGTATGCGCTCTGAAAAGCTGTGACTCGACGATTACGTCTCTAACGCCTCAAAATTATCAGGCGTTAGCTGAAAACAACCTTCGAAAACAAGTCAGAGAGGGTGGAGCAGTTACTACGGGGCAGTTACTGACACTTGCAAATTCTCATAGGTTCCGTCACGCCCTTTTGTTGAACTGCAGAGAAAACTTTCCACTGCAAATCCAAGTGTAGGATAAGTCGGCATTTGTAGGCGTAGACCAGTTTTTCCCACGCTTGCAAGTGTCGACCAGTTGTGTCCGACGCTTTGAAGTGTCGACCACACAGTGTTCGACGCCTGCAAGTGTCGGCCACAGCATGTCTGACGGCTGGAAGTGTGGGGCCACAACAGGAAACTACTTGTAGTTTTGCCGTAGGACAGGACAGTGTGCTACACATGCATGTGGGCCACCATGTCGTCACTGGTGCGTTGCAGGTCTGCTTGTTGGCCTACCTCACGGTGCTTGGGCCCCCGGACTCTTGGAAAGCTACCAGGAAACTTGATTTGAGCCCAAAATACAAGGGAGAGCGTCCAGTTTGGTGTCCAGTGGAGCCGTCACGACATTTTGGTGCAATAAGCGGTTGCAGGGGTTCACGAAAATAGCTCGTTCTCGAGAAAGAAGCCAAACTTACTTTTCTAAACTTTTTCGTTTATAGAATTGTTTCAGCTATCCTTTAAAGCTAACTTGGTGAAAATCAGTTGAGGATCTATTAAGCGGCGCTAATTTAAAAACTACACTTTGTAAGTTATAAAAAAAATTCGGACCGAAAAACTTCAAAGACAAAAAAGGTGCAGGTTTTCATCCGCTTTCCAACTCTGGTCTCGGATTTGACATACGGCCGATATTGGCAGAGATATCGCCATCCAAAGTTGCGTTGTTCTAGTTTTTGACAAAAAAGTTCATTGGCCATAACCAGGGGGTGGCAACGCTGTACACGTATTCAGACGCCGTGTTCGACGCCCTTAAATCATGGTACTTTTCAAGGATATATTCTCTGAGCCCTGCAAAGGAATCGAATGAAACTGGAGTGCGGCATCAAGTTAAAAGGTCATATTAAAGTAATAATTAAACTTGAGCACACTTACAATCAATTCACCCCTCGAAACCGCATCGCAAAAACAAGAAAAAACTATGGTTTCGCTAATAACGCTACAAGTGTCTTCTTATATTTTCAAAACGTTAATCTTGGAAAGTTTACGAGTCTTTGAGTTGAAACCTGGCCTACACACTTCCTCAATTCATATGTTCTAGTAATTACAAAACAGCTAAGCTCTACTTGACTTAGTACTTTGTATCTCGTCGAAGTATTACTATTGTGCAAGGGAGGGTCGAACATGGCGTCAAGAAAGATGGAAGGCGTTGCCACCCCCTGTTACAACGACTTTTGGGTAAAAAATATGATTTAATTTTTTTTCGAAGTTTTTTTTTTACTTTTGAGAGGACAGATATGGTTTTGCTCCAAAATCGAAAAATAAATTATATTTTGGGACGTTTTAGACCACTTGGAAACTTTTACTTTTCGTAAAACTCAGTTTTGGACATTTATATGATTAGATTTAAAATTGGTCAATTTTCAACTTTCATTTAGGGGCGTTGTAGTGACTTCCAGCACGAACTGTGGGTGCCAAAAATTCTTTTTTGAGGTGGCCTGGAAGATCCCAAAGTATGAGAGTAATCGGCTACTGACACCTGAAAACGTTCCCTTGTCAGGTCTGGTTGACTTCGCGTGGAATGCCCCAATGCTCTAAGGCACGTGACACTTTGTCACGTTCCTTTCAACGTAATGTCACGTTCCTGGAATGAGAGGGGCATACACACAAAATGTTGATGTAGAATTTTGTACGTGTACCTGGAATTTGTCTAACATTAAGCGTAAAAATGCGAAAATTTGTGCAAATTTGAGCACAATTTTATGCATAACTTTGTAAAATCGTACAAAACCACATACAACATTGAACAGAAACGTTATAGTTAGCCGTTAAAATAAGTTGTCAATAAAGAAAATACGTGGTTACGCCGTTAAACGTTTCATTGACGTTCGCGGCCCTAATGCACAGAGGCCATAAATACTCTCTTAATGGACTTTATTGATCGTTCCCCGACTGACTGACTTCATTTCTCATTAGAGACGTATTTTAATAAAGTCAACATGAAACTAAGTTTTAAATGAGTCTGAAAAATTTCACTGAAAATTGAAGGGCAAGAAGAGAATCACAATCAAATTTTGATGAGAAAAGTTTTTCACCGCCTTGCGTGGTCTTGCGGCAAGCGTCAAAATTCTCATCAAAGATTGGCGAAACGTGGGAAAACATTCAGTTCTGATTCCCAGTGCTACGGAAGAAAATTGTCTGTCACCGAACAAGTGGAAACTGATGCCTGATGCTCACTATCGCGAGTGTGACTTGCGTCCGCGTGGAGTCGGGTGAACACATTCAATCGCACGCAGACGCAAGTCACGTCCTCGTTTGAAAGATCCCAGGTGCAGCAAGATCGCGGAGAAAACCACTCGCCGAACACTGAGTACACAAGTCTTGCGCAACATGAGGAAAAACCACTTGAAATACTCCCGAAGAACCCCGTGCGTTCCCCGCGCCCACGCCCAGCCACAACTGCCAATCCGACCTACACTCCGAAGATCCTGAGTTTTTTTCTCGTAACACGAGCAAAAAGTTTGTTATTATGACAGCGCAGCGAAGACGTCACCTATGATGCATGCTACCTACGATGAAGGGTCCTCTGTAACACATGATCAGTTTCTTCATATTTCGAACAAGTTTTTCCGTATGATGATTGACTTGAATACTGGGAATTAACTTAGTATCATGACTGCACAGCATTATTCAGTAGGAAACGGGCAGTGGAAGGGCGAGTCAAGCCGCCGCCACGGACGCCGGGGCTCAATGAGGCTGTCCCAAGGTAGAGGCGGTACAGCTGTTACGGGGAAGGCCTGTCGCTTACCTGCAGGGAGGGGCTTTCTGCGAGCCAGGGGGCCAGGGGCAGTAGCCGCTTGAGTTTCATCCCCGCCGAGATGCAGTTCTCCCCAAGCAAGGACGGCATGTCCCGTTTCGCAGAGCACACACTAAATGTTTATGTACAATTTTGTACGTGGTGATGCATGATTTTAAACTTGTGAGCCGTCGTGCATAAAATTGTGCGTGAATTTGCATACTTTTATGCATTTTCACGCACATTATTATGCTAATTCCCCGCATGCACAAAATCGTGCAAGTGGCACGCCCAAAACTCTACATATACATTTAGTGCGCAGGCGGGCATGTGACGGGCCCGAAATGGCTATGTACTTACTTACGATCATGTGCGGTCTAGCCTCCAATGGTAACGGTATGGCAGGGTAGGCAACCCTTCAGGCACCGACGCCAGGGGGCACTGACGCTACGCACGCCGGCTGGATAGGCAGCTCTCCAGATACCAACGCAAGTTGAGAAGCCTAGCCTCCGCACCTCCCCTGAGATTCTTGACATGATGTTATTGAGATTCAGATGTGCCCCGGCGAAAATCAGGGTAGATTTCCAAACTGAACTCTTGTGGACTTTTTAAATGCAGAATTGTACCCACACAGATACGTGCCTTTCTCTAATCAAGGGGAAATCACTGTGAATTTCAGTGTTGAAATCCAATGTGTTTCAGGCAAAAACTACTGAATTTTGAGAAGAATCTCAGTGAATTTCCAGAAGTTTTGATGAATTTTACATGCTCGCTGAATTATGGTGTACAAATTTGGAGAGTTATTTCTCCTTGTTTATAATATTATGCATGACTGTGTTCTTAATGCAACTTCCTGCATAACATGTATGTACACAGTGACGCACTATATTGTACTCACGTTACGTACGTATCGGTGCATGCATCATTATGCATGAAAAAGTCTACAAGAGTGTGAACAGAATCACAAAAGTACCCTGGGAGGGAAGTATAGGAAAAGTATGGAACAAGTCTGGTCAACAATTTGCCTGGACCGTCCGTGCGCCAACTACCGAACTTTATACTTTGTTCGGATATCTCGTGCTTGTATAAACACCGAATGTTTATGTACTTGTATTGTCCGTAACTATAGCCATATTGGTGCGTACGGAAGCAATGAACAATGCCTAAATTAGGGACAATATTTCCTCATTGTGCTTAAATATTTATAAATATGTACCTAACAAGCTAGAACGTAGGTTACATGAGCACAAATTGCAATAGTTATTTTGGACAAGAAGTCTACGGGCATTTAGCGTGTAGGCCCCAGACCCATGAAATGGAGCTTTAATCTCGGGAATAAAAATGAGACAAACATTTGGTGCAGAGTTTAATAAAAGATAAAAAGAGGACCAAAAAAAATAAAAGCACGGTATTATCCCCTCGTACTTTCCTCTACAAAGCCTGTATTTTACATAAGTTGGATCTGCAACTTAAATAACACCTTTTCGACTCTAAACAGCTCTCACTTCATGTGGTTATATTCTTTTAGTTCTCAGGTACTTACAACAATAAAACAACGTTAAACTCTTTTAAATACTAATACAGAATGCAAAGTACTACAGTACATTGAAACAAAAATAAAATATGTTAAAAAGACAACACACTTTCAAACAAATAAAAACAAGGTGGGTTTTACGCCAGCCCGCGTTTGTCGTAACAGGCTTCGCGATGTCTCGCGGTTTTCCTCAATCCGCGCCGGGCTTTCCCTACCTTGCCTGCGCGCTACCCTGCTTCGGCAGGATTGGCTTGTCATCGTCGGTTACTTCTTACGTGTTGCATCTGGGGGGCTTAGAGTTGCTTCATCTACTTGATAAACACGATCTTGCCCCTTGTCACTTGTCAAACTATAGCCAGGTGGGGGCTGCGCCCACAGACCC